CCTCCTCTTCGCTGTTGGAGGCATGCTGATGTTGTTTTTTGTCTTTTTTCGCTGTGCCAGCTACATTTAAGGGTTCCAGTTGACCTATACCTACAGATAAGTACATTTAATGTATTTCTCGGCAAATATTAAGGGGAAAAGTGACACCAGATTATCTGCAAGGTTCTTGTAGATGAAGGTAGGTCGAGCGGTGGAAACTTTTACAACATTGCAAGGACGTACCTCGCTTTAGAACCGACTAAATCGCTGATCCCGTTGCGAGCGCCGAGTACCAGTTACGTCAAAAACCGGCCAAGAATTACATTCACGGAATTGAAAGGGGTACTATGCAGTTGTACTAGATGTATAAGAAGTGCCTTTGAATTATTTGGAGATAGAATAAGTAGTAGAATAGGTACTGTGTGTGATATCCATCGGTTTGAACCCACTCATTCTCTTAGGTTTTCCGCCACAAGCAAGTGCCTTTTGATCCTGCGAAGTTTTCAAGAGAATGGCTAGCTTCGCGCGACAAGGACGGCGAGGGCGCGGGCAACACCTTGCTGGAACAAGTAGATTCGTTTTTTTATGTTGCGGTGACTATAGATATCAAACGCAAGAAGAGCTACAGAAACTAAAGTTTTGGCATCTCCAGCTCGCATAGTATGGCTTTCCTACTTGAAGAAGCCATAGAGATGAGCTTAGCTGTATCTTCACTGAGACAGAACCCTCTTCATACTCCCGAGAAGCAAATCGCCATAGAGGCCAACGCAGAGGAAGCCAAGAAGATCAACCAAGACACGCGTCAAAGACTCCAAGATCTGAAGCATGAGCGAGAAAATGTGAACGTCCCGTTTGAGCCAAAAGACTTCACGCTTCTCCAAGACATGTATTTTGACGGATTTTCTTGGATCGCGATGCCCAAAAAACAGTCCGCCGCAGAAAGGAAAAGGATACATTAAGACCTGCAACTAAGTACATCCTCGAGTGCATATCATCAGTGCCTGAGCAGTGTGTACGGGGGACTTGAGGTTTCGTGATTGCAAGAGGATCCTATTTCAGCCTTTGTTGGCTTGATACACTGCCGAGATAAAGAAACGTCAGACCACACTCTAGTTCGCTGTTCTAAATCTCACGGAAAATGAAGAAGCAGAAGATGTTTAGTTCTGTTGGCGTTGAGGCCTACAAGGAGAAGGGCCTGTGTAAGAGTAGTCGGACGGATGCGATCGACACTACAGTCGAACCAGATAAGAGAATTGATGTGTTGACAGCGAAGATGCTGGGAACTGTTAAGGCGAATGGATGCTAGAGTTTAGAGTCATCACAGAAGTAGAACAGCTGCTTGTGTAGGATTCAACTCTCTCAAATTTTGATTTTTCCTTTCGTGGGGAGTCGGAGCAGGTGAGCATGTTGCTCTTGTAGGTTGGGAGCATGAGCAGCTTTGACCTTAATATTATAACATCAACGTTAAATCATATGTAGAAAAGAAGCTCTTCAACATCTAAGACACCTGGAGATGGTACCCACAGTACCCAAGAGCCTAAGAGACCTCCGATGCAGAACAAAACTCGACGCCGGTCGTTGATGGGTGGACAGATGAACGAGAACCAAGCATTAGCTGCATTGGACTTACGAAAATTGAAAAACTTCAAATTGGCATTGTCTAGAACATCCGTAGATAGCCGTAGATAGACACGTATGGCTATAAAGGAGCCGGCATGGTATGACATGACATTTCTACTTGACAACACGATTGATAGTTGTTCTAGGTAAATGGTGGCCTCCAGCTGTCCTAGGTGAGTTGTGGCCTCTTGTTCGTTCTAATAGCATCTCCTGCAGCATCGAAACAAACAAAGTCACCGTCCAAAGCTCCTCAGCATAGCGGCAGTAGTCCTCGACGAGCATCAGCCGCAGAACACCAGAAGGTGCTAACTACATTAAGGCTTTTTCTTGACGTCTAATTGTAATTCTAATTCATTTAGGTGCTAACTACATTAAGGCTTTTTCTTGACGTCTAATTGTAATTCTAATTCCTTTCAGTGTCTGTCCTGTTGATTCTAACAGTCGGGCCTTTCGATTCTATGCGCAGATAGATTGTGTAGTTAGCCGTCAGTATCGTACTCGTACTCAGTAGTACTCTTTACTTCATGATCATATTTTGAATTTCTTGCTAATCCCGAACTCTCCACGACGCCAAAGTACGAGTCCACGACCCCAAAGTACGAGTCCACGACGCGGCAGTCTTACTTGCAGAACGGTGGAGGAGATTGGATTAGAATCCTTGACATCGATGAAGAAAAACGTTGCTCTTCTTAAGGCTTCCGGGAATGTCCCATTTTGAAAAGCATATTCTTGGGGGACCCCTATCAGGGAAAGACAGGAGTCCCAAGAGGTGGACTGTGAAGTTCTAATGTACAGTTCCCTGTTTTCCCGAAACCACCATCCTCGCCCACCTCTCGCGAAGGGCCTGCTGCGCCCACTGGACCTGCATTAGGTGACGCAGGCAAGTCGAAATCAAAGCAGAGTGTGCTGTCGAAGTTGAGTGGCGTGCATGAGAAATACCACGATGAATACAGCAAGTACATCATGGGCGACGGAGTCTCGGCTGCGATTACTATGGCGGCATAGCTATTATACCAACATAATTCTTCGTATATTTTTTCCACTTACAACCTAGAATTATCTGACAGTGATACAACTGCTTAATCTTCTCGAGGACCTTCATAATCTTCAAGTTCCTGCTCAGTCTCAATGTCATCTCGCGTCACTGAACAAATGTAATATATGATCAGGAGTCGCAGGAACACGATGACTTCTAAGTAAGAAATATTATCATCAGGCAGGAACAAGATGACTTCTAAGTAAGAAATATTATCATCAGGCAGGAACACGAACACGATGACTAAGTATGATAATGATGATCATCAGTCACAGGAGTAATTCTAAGCTCCCGAAGAACATCGAAGAGCGAGCTAGCCTGAACAGACGTGTTTTAGGCGCGTTGACGGGGAAGAAGGAATTCCTCCCGATGAAAGTACGCGTTTTCGTCGAACGACAAGCGGCACTGGGATTGTTGGATTTATGTTGTAGGGGTAGAAGTGAATTCTTTTTTTGTCTATAAGGTCTACCTCATTGCGTCGGAGTAGAAGGAAGGACTACAACCTTGGGTCTAGCTAATATGAAGATGTCGTACTTGAAGTGTTTACTTCTGTAGAAGATGAATTGAAGAAGATGACGATGCTTCTTTTCTCACTTGATGATACATCAATCACATAGTTCTTTCACCCTCGTCTTGGCAAAGTCCTTAAAAGCCGATGTTTACTTTTCCAGCATCAAGTTTCAGTCATCCTTGTTTAGTCATCTTTGCTAACTGCAGAAGGCGGTGGAGGTGGCACACAAGCCCAGAAAAACATGCAGAAGAAGCAGCAGAGGCTTCTCCGTGACTATGCACGTAGACACCTAGTAGGATCGGGAAAGAAGGGCGTCACGGTCTATTCGAAACGGTTTTTACGGGCTAAAAGGGCGCTTGATGACTCGTCGGGTTCAAAAGGTAGAGGACTAGTTTTTTTTTTGGTGATTATATGTTCATCACCTTTAGGGGAGAGAATCTTTAGCTGGTATTTTCATTGCTTAAGCGAGGTCATTGGGCTTAAGTGATGCGCACATCACCTAAGCGAGGTGGGGTTTAGGTGATGCGCGGAACACTTAAGCGAGGCGGGGCTTTAGGTGATGCGCGGAGCACTTAGGCGGCGCACTTCGGCGGCCCTTGCGGGAGCCACCCCCGAGGCCAATGGCGGACCCGCTTCTGGAGCACTCAAGCGACGCGCTCCCTCGGAGTCCGCTAGCGGTTTCGCCGTGTCGCTTGAAGGCTTCGCCGTACCGCTTAACGGTTTCGCCGTGTCGCTTAGCGGTTTCTCCGTGTCGCTTAGCGGTTTCTCCGTGTCGCTTAACAGCTTCGCCGTGTCGCTTAGCGGTTTCGCCGTGTCGCTTAACAGTTTCGCCGTGTCGCTTAGCGGTTTCGCCGTTTCGCTTAGCGGTTTCGCCGGTTCGCTTGACGGTTTCGCCGTGTGTCTTACCGGCTCCGCCTCGTCGCTTAGCCGCTCCGCCGTGTCGCTTAGCGGTTTCGCCGTGTCGGCTAGCGGCTTCGCCGTGTCGCTTAGCGGTTTCGCCGTGTCGCTTAGCGGTTTCGCCGTGTCGCTTAACGGCTTCGCCGTGTCGCTGAACGGTTTCGCCGTGTCTGTCGCCTGGCGGTTTCTCCGTGCTGCTGTACGGTTTCGCCGTGTCGCTGAGCGGTTTCTCCGTGCTGCTGTACGGTTTCGCCGTGTCGCTTAGCGGTTTCGCCGTGTCGCTTAACGGTTTCGCCGTGTCGCTCAGCGGTTTCGCCGTGTCGCTTAAAGGCTTCGCCGTACCGCTTAACGGTTTCGCCGTGTCGCTTGACGGTTTCTCCGTGTTGCTTAACAGCTTCGCCGTGTCGCTGAACGGCCTCGCCGTGTCGCTTAACAGCTTCGCCGTGTCGCTGAACGGCTTCGCCGTGTCGCATAGCGGTTTCGCCTCGCACCCTCACCGGCTCCCGCGCCATCCTCATCGGCCCCCCCTGCACCCGTCCCCTTTCTCACTCCTGACCACGACCAACAGGCGTCACCACCATCAACAACTCCCTCTCTTACCGTCCACCCCCAGGCGCACCCGTTCGCAAGACGATGAACTTTGGTTTTAATGCCTTGCGGGATGTGCCTACAGCAGTTAGAAGCGACGAAGCAGCCGAAGAAGCTGAAAGAAAAACGAAGGAGGCAGCTTGGGAACTGGGGAAAATTATGGCAGTTACTTACTCGGGTAATTCATAGATAGTTCATCTTCATGCCCCTCTTCACAGCAAATCTATGAATCTTCTGTGGCTTGTTTTCCTTCCTTTAGAACAAGATTCTGGACGAAAATGATAGAGTTTAGAAGCTATCGTGAAAGCAAGAAGAGTTTAACAGAAACTACGGCGACCTCTAAGGAAACGAGATCCGGACAGAGAGAGCGGCGTCTTTCTGCTGGTAACATAAACGTCAACGGACCAGCGAGAATGACTTCGAAAGATTATGGCACTCAGTTATCACACTACTTTCCCTTATCGTTTGTTCTTGACAAAGCCTCATTATCACGACCCCTCGATGTTTTCATAAGACTGAGCACACATCGTTCGCTTGTTGATACTGTTTCGTCTTGCTGGTAGTTCTAACGCCGAGCACGCAGGTGTACGATAACTATGGGGGACGGGATGGCGAGACGAAGTTTAGACGGAGGAGACGGCGCAAAAGAGCTTCGCGCCACCCTAACGGATTTCTATGAAAATCTGCAGAAGAACAAACGCCTAGGCCGTTCGAAAAAACGAAAACATAGGACTTCTCCTGGGGCTGGATCTGGTACAGAAGAAGGCCAGAAAGAGGGAGAAGAAGTATCAGACTCATCTAGTTCAAGTTCGTCATTTTTTTCTTCGAGCTCCAGTTCTAGGACTGGCTCTAGCAGTGAAAGGGATTCGTCGTTGGAGACGTCCTCTTCCGGATCTTTTGACGGCAACACGGGTTCTCGACGTCGTTCTAACAATGAAAAGAACAGGAAGAGACGGAAGCCAACTTCTAGTAAAAATGTTAAGGGTCGTACTAGGCTTTAATAGGTGTTCGCGTTTTTACCGCTCGTTTTGCCTTTCTTAAGGGGGAAAGGCATAGCGATAGGGGTAAGCTAGCACCAGCAGCCTACTTCTAATTCTAGCAAAAACAATAAATCGAAAAAGAACAAGAACGTTTTGAGTGCTAAGAAGGGTGGTCGACGCGTTTCTATCACAGAGCTAGCAAGAAAAGTGGTTTCGCCACAGCATCAACAGCAAGGAAAAAGTTCACCAACTACTGCTCCTCCTGGTAATGGAAATATGAACCAGCAGCAACTAGGACATCTTCATCAGCATCATGGAGAGCAAAATAGTAGTAATAATATTTCTTCACCTATTCGTCCCTTCGACGGTTACGACCTGGCATCTCTAGAAGCTCGAGAAAAGTGGCTGAGAAGAAAGGCACACTCGGTTGGCGGAGGCAAGCGTGATGGCGCGAGAATTCGAAGACTTCAATTTGGATTCCTCTCAGGGGAACAACGAAAGGACTATGAAGGTGATGGAGAAGAAGGTCACCAGAGTACAACTTCTACTTCACCAAAGACGAATCTTCGAAGTGCGTCTTCAGGTACAACTGTGGGAGGACCACCTTTTCCTAGTACAACTGTGGGAGGATCCTCTCCACCCGACCGCAGAGTCTTGAAGAAACGTCTGTTGCGAAACCTATATCGGGACCCTATTTTCTTTGCGTTTCCGAAAGCCGAGAACAAAGATCGCATGGTGGCTTCTCTGGCGATTCAAGGGTTGGACGAGGTTGGACGCCGCTTGGAGTTATGGACCAGCAAGATCTAATGTGTAACTGCTGGAGAATGAACGGAGCATCCAAATCTCTCTGACTTTGATTCACCTCCACAATATTAGGTCTATCCCGTGCAACAATATATGACTTTGATTCTAACCCAAGCCGCGACTTTACTGAGGGATTTTGATCAGTGGGAGAAGCGAGAACAGTGGAAAAAAGAGCTGGAAGGGATGCGATTGGAACGAAAGATAGAAGAGGATCAGCAGAGCCTGATCTCGAGCTTCATCGGGAGTCATAGAGGCAGAGGCCATCAACATCGTTTTGGAAGAGCACGGCGTGAAATAGGATCGAATTAAGGCAACAAAAGGCGCTGACGCATCCTTAGAAGTATCATGATGATCCTTGATGGTAGTTCTTTTTTTTCTATAGTTGAAAAGCGGAGAGGTGGTTTAGGCCCAGCGGCGCTCAAAGCACTAAATAAAACAACCGGTTAGTTTTTACCTCTAGCGTGTAGCCCTTCAAAGAGTCGATAGTTGAAAAGCGGAAGATGTGAGCGCGGCAGTTCTAATCAAAGCAACTACATGCTGGAGGAGGTGCATCGAAGCAAACTGCCCTTTCTAGTCTAGCATCAGAGCAGACAGCCCTAGGCATGACAGCGTCAAAGCAGATCGCAAGTCGATCTGGTGTGCCTTCCAAAGAAAGCAGACAGCTTGGATCCAAGCAGACGGTTACATCTTCTCCGTCAAAACAGACAGTGCTTTCTCCGTTGAAGCAACTAGTTGTAGAGGGAGGTGCTGTTGTTTCGCCATCGTCGAAGCAAAGTGCTGGTTATCACCAGTCTTCAGGATCAAAGCAAATTGTAGCCCTTCAAGTACAACACCATTCTGCAAGCAAACAAACGGTCCTATCGTCCCATGGCGCAGCATCAACTTTGCATGGCTTAGACCAGCAAAATAACTATGGAGATTTTCACGGTCAGGACGTGCCACTTCTTGGCTCGTGGTATGACCGTTCGGTCCTTCGATTTGCGGCGTCGCCGTCGAGTGCACAAACTTGCTTTGAAACGGTAGCTAGAGTGGCGGCTGCTGTCGAGCGACGGCACAGTACCGACTACGTCGCTTTAGATGTGACGATTGATAATACGACACCTTCCACCTCCTCTCGGAGTCAACAAGGTGGATCAGATAACCCTACGACCACCGCCTCCTTCGCAAGACAACACCCCAATAGCCTCCGTCTGGCCGCTTTGGATTTGACCCAATTCAGTGGAAAGCTAAAGGGCATAGATGCTGGAGATAAGAAACGGAAACGTTTCCACCTGTTTAACTGGAAAGCAGGAAGACAAACGAAGATTTGGATGGGAAATTTGCAGGCGTTGGAGGAAGAGTTATGGTGACGAAGGCATTTAGAGAACAGCTGTGTAGATATTAAAACGCAGTCGCACGGCAGGGCTTCGTCTGCGCTTTCACTCACATAGTACACACTTTCCGCTTTTTACTCCTATCCCCCATACACACACACAAACATATCCGCCTATCTACCCTAACCCGAAACCCTTCTCTAAGACTCGAGGAGCATCAACAGGAGGTGTCGCGAAACCGGTATCGAATGTCAGCAGGATTTAGGACTCAGCAAAGGACTAGGGTCGAAAATCAATTGGAGAAAACCTTCCGGAAATTTCCTAGCTTATCGAACGCAATTGGCCAACTTGCAATCCAGAAAAAAGAGACACCTCTAGACACGAGTTCCAGCACGTTAGAATTAGAATCTTCTATTTCTCCTCCGAGTAACAAGAGAAGTGCTTTAGTAGTGCAAAACGGCGCATCTCTCCCATTGGGTGGAAGCAGGAAGAAGAAAACGGTCTACATTTCTCCGGAAATTTTTGATGTGGATGAGGAGACGGAAGATATTAGCCCTCAGAATACTAGAAGGGATCAGGTGTCCTCTGCTTCATCGCTTCATCTAGGAGATGAGCGTGCTTGTTACCTAGGGGACCCTGTTGGAGCAGCATACGATGAGGCAGAAGAAGGAGCGCTGAGGCTAAACGGAGGTGGAGGACGCAGTACTAGAATCCCAACGATTTCTCCTGCTTCTAGAACATCTATGAAGAGCAGAAGGACACGAACTTCTGGAATCGATTTCGAGGCTACTCCTTTCAACAAGAACTCGTTGTTTAGAAGTACTCTTGGTAGTACCCAAGATGAAGACGGGGAGGACGACGAATTGCTCGAAGAAGAACAGCAGATTGAGGAATTGCAGTACAATACTTTTCATCAGAGGAACAATAATCTGCTGAACACCGCAAAGTTAAGGGTTTCCACGTTGCATCCTGAACTTTCATCTTTGAATCTTTTCCCACTAAGAAAGAAGGCAAGGATGTTCTGAAGAATGCAAAGGCGGAACCTCTATCAAAAAGTCAATGGCACAATCGAAAACCATTAGAGAGTGCGCGCTTACAAGTTTACAGTGCCGAACTAGATGAGGCTGTGAGAAAACGGGATGCTTCCTCAAGTTCCTTAGTAGTCGACGCCGCGACCAATAGTGGTAGTTTCTTCTTTACGCCTAGAAAGAAGCCAGAAGAGAAGATAGGTGACAGAGGAAGGACGAACTCAGCAGACGAAAGCGCGCGCAAGAGATACGAGATGATCTTACGGCGTCATTCTACTCCACTACTGATTATCAGATTCTAGCCTATGCACTCCCCTATCGAATCTATGTACTTACTTCCTTAAACCGTGTCCTAGACCAAATAGGAAGCCAGTGAAGTTACAGCACTACAAGGGACACGCAACTATTGTGCGCAATTTTTTTCTGAGACCACTTGGCAATGAAAGTAGACACATCTAACCCCAGCCCAAGTCCAGCGCGAATCCCGTACCGCTAGGAGCACTGGTGTGGTACCAGAGGACTTCGATCCTTTGCGCAACCTTGTGGCGCCACCAGCTCTACATTCGCCATTTAGAACGAAAGCCTTGTTGGAAGGAGGAAAAAACGGTGGATGGATTGACTTGCAGAAATGACCTTTTTGGGAGGGAAGGTGCACTGATAAGTCTGTTGAAGCTATTGCCGATACTATGTATGTGTTGTAAAAAACGTTGCACTAACTACACCAGTACTGTAGTAGCCAGAGTAGTGAATGGCAGCAGAAGTAAGAGGTAGAAAGTTTCATGTAAAATCAAAAAATTGCGATTACGACGCATCTCCACAGATGAAGTGACGAAAAGACTGACACCCTTGTAGCCTAATTGAAGTAAAAAAGTTCAGAAACAGTATCTAGTTCTATGCAAACAGTATCTAGGTCTATGCAAACAGTATCTAGTTGGATTCAAACAGCATCTCGTTCTATTCAAAAAATAATGTACCTTCTCGTACGTCTGGCAAATGCACCGCAGCCGTAAATGCACCGCAGTCTACGTCCTCTAGTAAAGTGCTGAGAAAAAAAGGTCTAGTAGAGCTTGTTCTTTTTTCTTGAGTAGCTAAGAAACATGCAGTGATCACTAGTATATGGAGAACAGTGAAATACTTTAGTAGGTCACTGATGATCATTTCCATAAGTCGGACTTGCCTGTTTCGAATGTCGTTTCATGCGTACACATCAGATAGCAAAGTACTAGTGACACGATAGACACTAGGTCTAGTAGACAATTTAAAACGTATAAACTACACAAAATGCGTGAGCGCCACCTACAGAAAAGCATGCTTCTAATGAACGTAGAAAGTACTAGAATTGAAGAGGAAGAGAATGCATAGATGCGAGCGGAATGCTGCAAGCATGCTTATAAAGAACGTAGAAACTTCGAAAGCTAGTACTTGAGGCTGTACAACTAGTGTTTAGGAAACAGAGAACTAAAAGGGCTCATGCTACATGCATGATACATACAGCATATGATTCGACCTTATTTCCCTAGACTATTATAGCTTGTCAACGTATTATTAATATTATAGCTTGTCAACGTGTCTTCGATCTTATCAACGGTAGTGGTTGTGCATATGCGAACGTTTCATATTTCTTGTTTTCTTTCATAATTCGCCTGAGGGTCTTCAGACGAACTCTTAGCAAAGCGGGACTTTCCCGTATATGGGCAGGAGTCTTTTCTGAGGATTACACCAGGATCTATTCATTGCCAACAGTATTGATAAGTGTTGGCCGTTATCAAGATGTTTTTCCAAAAAAAAAAACCACTAAAAATCCACTACCGCCTCGGCTGGAACTAGCTAAGCAAGTGCCCCATAAGGAGAAGAAGAGGTCTAATGATACTTTGTGTTATACTGCAGCGCATGCCGATGCATTAATTCCAAAAGATGGTTTTGTCTTGTAAGGGTTTTGCTCTATATAGAAGTACAATTGGTGCAAAAGTAGCGTTCTGTCTCAAGAGAGTACTTACAGCATTTTCTGTCTTGAGAGGCGTTTCGCGAGATGTCTGTGCGTCTATATGTCGTTGGCAAACAACAACTCGGATATAAGCACAGTTCTGTGTTGAGTCAATACCCTCTGAGGAGTGCATTTCATGTTGTGATGTAGGTGGCACGAAGTACCATTCCTTATTGACTCAATGCTCTTTGTGGAGTTGATTCTTTCTCCTGGAGGAGAGCGAGTGTCTCTCTATCAGTCTGATATCTATGCAGGAAATAGAGCCTGAACATAAGGATGTTCTGAAAAGCCTTTCCGTACATGATTTTTTTATCCGACCTACTTCTTCTTCAGCAGGACAGAAAAATTCCTTCGCCAACTTGTAAATAATTTTGGTTCCTTTTATACTGAATCTTTTCAACTTTCCTCACGGCTCGCTTTACGTAGTCAGAAGAAACCAATCGTAATTATCAATCTCTTGCTCCTCATCTTTTCTTCTATAATACAGTTTCCTTGTTCTTCTAGAATATCTTAGACCAACCGTCCTTCTACCTACAACATCATACAGCATCATCAATTTTTCATTGCTCAATTACTCCTAGAAGTTCATCCTTTCGTTTTTCTTTTTGTTCTTTACTTCTACTCTACGTGTTTTTGGCTCTTCAGTAGCCACTAGAGTCTGCTGGTTTACCTAGTGGACCCACACCCAACCTAACTAGGTCCAATCCGAACCGACTAACATCATCATCGCTTAGACACTACGCATCCGAGAACTAACACACACTGAAGAAGGAGAAGATGTTTGTCTATCCTAAAAGTGGGGAAAACCTGTGGAGCCTGGTTCAAAATCCGGACCCGGTGTTGCCCTGGCGCCGTACGTTGAGCAGTAGTGATATGTACCTACTTTCGGAAACGAAGAGGAGATTCTTTGATTCAGTTAAGGTGTGGGTCTGCCTCATTTGTATTTTCAATTAAAGGGGTCTGCCTCATTTGTATTTTCAATTCTAAAGACTCTTGGATTTTTCAATTAAAGGGGTCGAGGGAGCATTGCGACAACGGTATTGTGTTAGTACTCTTGCAACTGCTGAATAATTATCTACCGAAGAAGTTCCTACCCCTCCTCTCTCTAATCCCTCCGATCCCCGTGAAGCGGTGAAGCTATTACACCTGAAGCACGAAAGCGAATCTCCGAGACATGGCTGTTCCCGGGTCGTCACGATAGAGGATAAGCTGGAATTAGCAAGAAAAGTGAAAATAGCAAATGGAAATGCGAAGAAGAAGGTAGGTGTTACTTTTTTGCCAGCGATAGAAGGTGGACACAATGTTCAACGGAAAGGACAGGGACACAGAGGTAGGAACGGACAAGCCGCCAACGCGCCTTCAGCAAGTAGGACTGCAGCCAAGAATCCTACTCCATCCAAGCAGAAGATGGGAAAGCTTTTAGCGTCTACCATTGAAGCATGGAACAAGGAGGACGATGCCACAACTATGGCACCACTGCAAGACGGTGAACTACGTGAAACACCACTACATGGTAAAAATACGGGCCTGCAAGGCAGTCGTGAAAAACATGATCAAGAAGGACCACCTACTTTGCCAAGAAATGCAGTTCCTCGAAATGCAGTCCCACCACTACCTAAATTTGGTTCCTTCGGCTTTCCAGGCAGCGACGCGCTTGATAGACTACCGCATCGGAAATTCTGTTCTCTTAAGAATCCGCCTACTGGAGACGAACAGCTGCATTATGATGATGGGAAACGCTTGTCCCCAAGACGCTGGCACGAAATGGACCGGTGTTTATATGAGACTGATGCTGGAGATGTAAACTGGGATTTGCAAATTGACCATCGATGGAACCGACCACGCTTAACCAACTCTTGGCTGGAAGGGCATGCGCTCAACGTCGGATACCACTTGCCCCACACGTTTGAGCATGTCACAGGAGAAAAGTACTTCTTCTTTGGACAGGTTTGATTGTTTGTAGGGGGCTGCCTTGAAAAAGATAAAGGTACTATGCGAGTAGTATGTGATCATACGTCCAATGTAGGTATTATCAGTCTAAACAAAACCACCCACAGGTCTGAAAACATCTACGAACGGAATACAAGGCGATTTCACCACAGTTGGATAAGGAAGTACCCATTGCTGTCGGCAGTCAACAAGCCCAACTACGTTCCTGAGCCGATTATTGTGCCTGATAAAATCCGTCGATTGAAACCAAAAAGACTAGCACCTATCGGAGGAGGACCGATTATATAGATCGCTATAGCAGACCTGTTGGAGCAGGACCGATTATATAGATTTCGCTATGCTGTGCCAATGCCGTGAAGCCCGACCAGCACCTATCGGAGCAGGACCGATCATATAGATTTCGCTATGCTGCGCCAATTGTGGGAGAGACACGCGGAAGGAGCGACTATCACGGACAGGTGAGCTGAACCCTTGTTAATGGCGCGATGGTTACAATATGGTGCAGAAAGCGGAGCTGAGGTGGCTGTCGTCTGAAGGTTTGGTTGACTAGATTTTGTCCTAGGTGGGTGAGTAACAGCAAAAGATACGGAACGACAACGTCCAAAATTCATTTTTCAAGAAAACTCAACACATTACAATTCCAACTGGATGAATCGAAAAGCAGGCACATCGACGCGTCTTGTTAAGATGTTGTAGTAGATGTCGAGCTGTTTGGTTTTCTAGGTTTTCGTACAGAGAGCCAAAGAGAATATCGGTCTCGTCTTCTCTTGTCGAAGTTCTTCGCCACTATGGCTACTGCGAATTGAGGCTTACGAGAGATATTTTTTTTGGTCATCTATGAGGGCTCCACGTCGCACCTTTTGCAACGAGAGCGATAAATTCTACTAGGAATAGGACGAGAAGCCGTCTTTCAGGAAAAATGGAGGAGAGATTCGTCGAGACCAACTTTATCTTGCCCCTCTCAACCCTAAACCCTTCCCACCTAAGCTGCCCCCTATAAATTGCCAGTATTCATCACCAAAATCTTCAAAGTAGTCTACTAAAAGGGACTTTGTACTACTACCTGAAGAAAAGCGATGAAAGATACACATGTATCGAAGAAACATAAATAGAGCAAGCAACAAGCTATCCCCTACTAACGAAGCATTGATACAAGACATTTTTTTCCCTTTCCCAAAAACAATCAATGAATCAATTCGAAAAATTAAGGTACCTCAAGAAGGAGAACATTCCTAGTACAACAAGAAAGCAAGCAACCGAATTCCTAGTACAGAAAAGCAAACAATTATAGTTAGTGCAACAAGAAAGCAAACAAACAAGCATAGTTAGTACAACAAGAATGATCGGCATTCGCGAAAAGGAGAAGACCGTAGTGGTCATCCGCTCGTCGGCACTTCAAGCGACGAGCGGCGCCCGACCAGAAGCCCTCGTTCAGATCGAACAGATTCTGACAGAGGCCGACTTGGATTATGGCTTCATGCAATATTGTAGTATTGTCATGCAATATCATACTGTAGTATAATTCATCAGTAGTCTTCTTGTGGTCTTGTCAGTGGTCTTGCGGTATTCATCAGTAGTCTTGTGGTCTTGTCACTGGTCTTGTGGTATTCATCAGTAGTTTTGAAGTCTAGACTTTTTATAGGAATCCACTTACTCATTTTGTGTTGTTGTACACACTGAGCCTCCTAAAGAAAAACAGTAGGAATCTTTCTCCACTTAAATTTATACACCGCGGAGAGCGGAACGTATCACGCTCAACAAGACTAGGTCTAATCCCCAGTCGTTTCCCGAAAGCAGCTGTGCTTGAGCGGGAAAGATGGTAAGACCTACGGCATGGATGAAGGTGGTTTGGTCGATGTCTGCCTTTTGCAGCACATGGACGGAGACACTGTCCGACGTGCCTTTGAGCCGTTACGGGTGTGCGATGTGTACTGCGCTAAGAGCAAGTGGGAGGTACTACAGCTTCTGTTTTATTTGCGATGTTCTGGCGGTTTGCTTGTATTCTAAGGGTCTAAGGTCTACATGCACATGCTTATTTGCGACGCTGTGGTTTTTAGTAAAATGCTAAAAGTACTAAGAGTAAGTGACGGGTCGTATTGTTTTCATCCAACAATTTGTCGGGAAGCGAAATAAAAAACTCACTGCACCACCTCATGCTAGGCACATTCATTCACTCACTCACTCATCCCGCACCTCCATCAGTTTTTCTTTTTACTCCCACTTTTTAATCTTATTACACCATCTTGTTCAGGCCCTTCGCGACCAGGAGTTTTTCTTTCCTTGTTTGGCGGGATGCAGCGTTGAGAGGACCTTGGCCGTGATCAAACCAGGAGTCACCTCTGATGTAGTCGAATACGTCACAAACTCCTTGATGCAAGCTGGTCTTTTAATGGTGGTACAGAAAAATGTCACCTTGACGAAGGAACAAGCAGCGGAATTGTACTTCTACGTCTAGAGTTTTCCTTGTACTTCCTTTCTACTAGTTCTCTATAGAAGCCCTTCAAACAACATATTAATCTACTATTTCTCTAGAGAAGCCCCGTCAACTAGCGACGTACATCATCAAACAGAAACAGATGAATATGTTGTACGCTAAAACTGATGTACCAAGCAGAAGCAGATGACTATGTTGTACGCGACTACCATTATTCAGTAGTTTTTCAACAACTAACACATGAATATATAAGGTCGTTTAATACAACGAACACATGAAAAATAAGCTGTACACCACTACAGGTCTGCTTCTGCTGGACACATGAAAAAGAATACAACGAACACATACACCACTGCAGGTCTGCTTCTGCCGAAGAACAGGAATATTTGACTTCTGGAGCGAGTATGGTCTGCCTCCTAGAGGGTCCAGGTGCAGTCGATCGATGGCGGTTGCTCGCTGGGCCAGAGACAAAAGCCGAATTTGGAGCTGCAGTGAACACTATCATTATGTCACGAGAGTTGTTTCTAGTCTCCATATAAAGTATGCGTACGTGAGTTCAAGTTGTCCATAATAGTGTGAACGTCCTTGTATTCGAGGGCGATGAGCACTGTGAAGATCATCAAATTACAAGTATAATTAACTCAAGACTTCTCTGTACTACTACTAGGTCTCTGGATCCTGTGTGAGTGATCCCTAACCTAACCTAACTTCTCTGTACTACTACTAGGTCTCTGGATCCCGTGTGAGTGATCCCTAACCTAACCTAACCTAACCTAACCTAACCTAACCTAACCTAACGAGTACTATTGATGAACTGCCTCGTACTCGAAGACGGTGAGCACTTTGAACATCACCTTAGGCAATTTTGCTCAAGACTTGGTACTACTACTAGGTCGCTTCTTCTAACTTCGGAGGCAATTTTGCGCAGTCGGATGTGGAAAACGTGGTGCATTGCTCTGCTTCTGCAGCTAAGTTAAGGCTTCCACAAATTCATCTTGAAATTCGTATCTTTGCGAACTTTACCACTTCAGGATGAATATTTGGAAGGTCTAACTCAGGCGAAGAGTGAACTCGCCTGTCTATTCCCGGAAGGCATGATGAGCCACATGGAACGCACTCTGTGCCTCTTGAAGCCGGAAGCGGTCCCGGAATGCGCCGCCATCGAGTTGGCGTTTAAAAAGGCAGGATTCGCTGTCACCAAGAATATGGCAAGAGAAAGAATTTTTGCTTATAATTATGATCCTAAAGACGAGGTAGTTGTGGTGAAGCAGTTTTCTCAACTAGATCTCTACTGCGATATGGTTCCAAATGAGTTTCATCAACCTGCACCTACTAGGCATTATGTACCTACTTCTAGGATGATGCAGGAGGTTCGATCTGCTCGCTGAAATTTTTAGAAATACGTCTTGAAAATCCTCATTCCCAATCTAGTAATCTTCTCTCCCCCTTTTCATGCTCAAAGAGGCCTTGGTGTTGACGGAGGTTCGTGCGGAGGCTTTTTTGACCCAGAACAGCAATCATTTGAACGCCGCACAAAGGAAGGCGAAGATTCGCCACTTCACAAGTGGAACACTGGTTGCATTCGTCCTGGTATGGCTGGGTGATGATTTCATGTGGGAAATGAATCTCTCTTCTTTTTTAGTACTATCCATTTTCTCTTTCTGCTTTTCAGCATTCATTTCTGAGTCATCGATCTTATTTCAGTTCGATCCTTCCTCCCTCTTTTTCTCGTATTATAATTACGTCCTTTCTTCTCTTCTCATTCCCTCACACATCTGCTTTCCGGATCACCTGTGATGATGGGTAGTATTTCTCTCTCTAATCCCTACTCGTGTTGGTGCTGTGGAAACGCTGAAGCAGTTGGTGGGTCCAGAACAACCTAAGGTCGCGGAGAGTATCAGCGGAGATTTATTGCGCGCCAAATACGGCAGAGATGCTCTGAGGAATGGCTTTTATTGCTCGGACACAGCGAAAATCAGCAGCATCGACGTCCCCTTTTTCTTTCCGGAACTAGGCATGTTCAACTTCCCGAGTGAGAGTCAGGTATTTTTTATTACTGACATACTTACTCCATAGAAATACTGACTTTGAACAGTCCTAGGTAAACTTCATTATTCCTTCTCTGTGGGAATCATTTGGCAATTCTTCATATTTTATTTCTTAGAAGTAGGGTCAGACTGGAGGTTACATGACGATGATGATGTTCTTTTTCCTATGGATTTGGCCTGTGTAGTACTACGACCTCGACTTCTTCGTCGACCACTGTACCTCACTTTTAGCTACATCTTCTAGGTGACCGACTACTTCTACCGCAAGACTGCGGTCGCTGACATGCAGTTGCCGGATATCGGCAACTCTGTGCTGTTGGACACCACAGTGCAACAGTTTGTGTCTGAAGGACTCCTGGAATTAGCGAGGATCCGACATGTTGGCGCGGATGCCATCACATTTTTGGCCAACTACCTGCGCGAAAACAATCCGAACCGTGCCAAGATCGTTCCGGAATCTGTGCTCAGCGGTGCAACATTAAGGCTCTTGGGTGATTTGTTTCTCAGTGATTTGGATTTGTTCATTCGTGGGGTAGTGCGATAGTTTGTGTTGATGTGGTGCAATAGGAATAGTTGGTCTCCATGTTGCTTGTGTAGTAGGACTAGTTTGTGTCAGTTTCTAGTGTACTAGTCAGGCTGGTGAATGCGTCAGGCTGGTGAATGCGCTATGCATGATGGCACTCCTCTAACCACTGACTTCGGCGAGGGAAAGACGGAATACGTGAAACTCGGTACAGGAATGACGGCTGAAGGAGAACTGTTTGAGGTAGAGGTGCCAGAGAAAGCCAAATATGACGTTATGGAAATCGATGTGCGGGATGAAGAAACGACGGGAAAGAAGGTAGTTAGAATGTCCTTCTAGTATGTTCCTGGTCTAAGTTCTGGATTTGGAGGGGAGCCTTCTATTGGATTCCGTTCTATGCTAATTCTGTAATTCTTGAGTGGTTCCGGTATTTGGTAACCTGAATTTGATCATAAGGGAAAACAAGAAGAGAACCCTTAGGATCAAACTCAGGTTACCAAATACCAGAACCATACAATTCTTCCATTTGATTTTTCGTTAGAGAATATAAAGAGTCGAAGAAAGGTAATGAGATGGACTATCTTCTGTATTGTGTTTTCAACCACCACACAAAAGGTTTCCTCCGCAGAATTCGATCGCACGCCTCTGGTCGTTTTTGTATGTGGTGGCCCAGGCAGCGGAAAGGGCACAAACTTTAAGGCGGCTGAAATGATATTCTAGATACACACGTTGTTGCACATTGTATTATTTATCCTACTCTATTCTTCTAGATACACACGTTCTTGCACCTCTAGAAGTAGAGCAGTCATTGTATTATTTATCCGACCAACATGTCAGAATCGTCTTCAATCATGTAGTCTACTTACTTATTCCATTTTGTCCTGCTCTAATCCTTGCGCCAGAATTGCTGCTGAGTTCAACTACTGCCACTTGTCAGCGGGTGACTTGCTGCGGCAAGAGATTGCCGCCCAGACGCGTCGTGGTATGGAATTACAGGGGTTGATGGCTGAGGGGAAGCTTGTATCCGATGAAATCACTATCGACCTGCTGAAAAACGCGATGTTGGCGAATCAGGACAAATTATGACTGAGGAATCTTTACAACTTTTCCCATATTATAGAAGTAGGGGACAACATCCTTCTTTCAGGATGAATTCCTGAATTTTCATCTTATACCTTCTTCAGCAAGAACAGTATTCACCAAGTGGTACAACTGGAAATCCCCTGCTTCTGCAAAAAAAACTTCTGCAAATCTTACAACGTCATATTCTAGTAGTCAAATTATAGAAACCATCTATTATAGAAACCTCTCTCTCTAACCTGTTGTGGCTTCCTCGTCGACGGGTTCCCGCGAAGTGTGGAGCAGGCAGTGAAATTCGAAAAAAACGTAGCGGAATGCAATATGGTTCTCAACTTCGATTGCTCGGATGCCGTGATGACAGAGCGCATCCTGGAACGCGGCAAAACCAGTGGCCGTGCTGACGACAACCCGGAAACCATCAAGAAACGCCTGGATACGTTCTACTCTTATGGTTGGACTCAACATCCGGTCTGCTAAGTTGGTGGCTCAACATCCGGTTGGAGTAGATAGTGGCTCAACATCCGGTCTGCTAAGTTGATCATAATAGTCCCTCTTCTCCATTAAATATAGAAGATGATCACTTACAACGTCGTATTCTATTAGTCAAATTATAGAAACCATCTATTATAGAAACCGTGATCATCGTTTGCTCATCTCCGTAAAGAATCTCCGTTACTTCTTCTCTTATCGGTCAACTGCAAATGTCACTCTCTAATCCAGCCAAACGAAGCCTGTTGTGGATTACTATAGGCATATGGGGCGACTGAGATCCGTGAATGCTGATGGCGCTGTTGCAGAGGTGTACAACACGACCAAAAAGATCTTTTTGAGTAAGTTCGTCTACTTAGTGGGAGCAGCCGGCGCACGCATTGCCGATGGAATAGGCAGTTTTAAGAAAGCCATGTATCAACATGCTAAATAAGCTCTGGAGGATTTGACTTATTAAGTAGAAGACACAAGCTTTTGGTTGTTATATTCTCATCTGTGGCACTGAAAGTTGTGAATGCGTATCGAGTCTTAACAGAAAAAGGATTGGGATTTGCGAAGTCTTCTTCTATATGTGATGTTCTGGCTCGGCATCTGATAATTCATTGAGATTATGAATTAAGATTAACTACTACTTAGAACCTACCACTAGTGAACAAAATTTTTTACACGATCTTCACGAAATAGAGAACTTCTAACTCACTCTGCGACGCTTCTGGCTACGCGCACATTGATGCACGTGCCATCTACAAGAAGTTCATCGTGAGCGCCCCTCCAGGAAAGGAACTGGAAGTGGAACGGGTATTATTTCTGCCGTGATATATTAGGATTACAGGCAGCACTTGATGTTGACTACAATCTAAGTATTCAAGTGAGAGAAGTATCTCGACATATAGATACATTCATTCTAGGTCGTTCAGCATCGAAAAAGAAACTCGGAGTCGGCGATCGAATATCAAAGACCCCAACCATTTTGAATTTAGCTAAAGCTCGAACATCAAACAACCCAACCTGCGATCTTTTATACACCCTAAACCCAGGTAAAGCAAGCCCTTGCAGACCGCAAATTAGACCTGGTTCCGTCGCTCTGCTGTCCATTGATCGTTTCTGCAGTCAAGGAGAAACAACTGCAAGGATGCATGTCGTTTGTGTTCACTGACTTCCCACGAACCGAGGAGCAAAAAGCGTTCTTGGAAAGTCAGATCTGTTCTTACTCCTCTGCAGTCGTGCTGGTTATGAGGAGTAGATGTAGTAGTTCCATGATAGGTAGAGACGGGGTAGACGTCGTAGTAGTTCATCATACTGGTTTGGTAGTAGATGTAGTACAGTAGTGCATCCTACTGGTGGAATAGTACAGGAGTTCATGATACTGGCTTGGTAGTAGATGTAGTTGTAAGAGTAACTCATCATACTGATGTACTAACAGTAGAACTACTCATCATACTGATTGGTAATACAGTCATCATACTGCTGTACTAACAGTACAGCTTTCATCCTGATTGGTAATACATTCAGTAGAGTTATTGTCCGGCTACCTAGAAGATCCGAGATCAGACTTCTTAGAAATGAGTCCTGCAATCCCACGAGCTCTAATCTCCACTACGAGCGACGCAGCGCAGTGGAGCTTGGCATTTCCGCTGGATTGACCCAGGCACAAGTAGAGACGGACGACCGCGAGCTAAACGGTGAAGCCATGGGCAAGTTGCTTGCCTCCATCTCTAACGTGCAGAGAGTGCTTAAGGCTAGGTTTTGAATAACGTCCAAAGAGTACATAAAATTCCTCAATATGGAATACTATTTCTAACGTCCAAGAAAGACTACTGAGGGCGCGTGGTAGAATACTGAATGTTGAAGTTTTTTCAAATTGAAGGACTGTCAGAACTAATGAAGATATTGAATTTTTCTTTTGTAACATCACATCTAATGTTCCCATGGAGTTAGCAAGAGTGGCATCGTCAGAACTACCCCGCGCACTGAAGATGCAGACCGCAGAAGCTATTAAAAAAGCACTTCGACCGAAGATGACATTGTGCATCGGACCTCCAGGCTGCCATCAGAGAGCGTTTTGTTATGGCAAGAAGTTAGCTTTTCTGGTGAGTCTCTTCGTTTAACTTTTCTGTGTGGAGGCTCTAGTACTTGCTGACTAATTCCCTCAGTGCTTGCTGAGTCTCTAGTACTTGCTGACGCACAGAGTGACTCTAGTACTTGCAGACTAGTTCGCACAGAGGCTGACTACTTGCTCGCTAATAATGGTAAGTACTTGCTGACTACTAAAAATCCCTCGGCCAGTATTCGAATCCCTCAACTCGTACTTATACTGACTCAAATATCTCAGATCTCCTCTAATCCTTCAAGGCGTGGGCGGATCGGCTCGCTAGTGCGACTCCTGTTGATGTTGACGAGGTTTTGGACAAGGAATTGGAGAGACAGACCGATACCGGTGTCCTCATGCACAATATGTTGAGCAAAGGTACTAAATGTTCTTTTTTATCATTTTGCGAGGCTTGTTCCATAATCTTTGAAAATCTTCCATAATCTTTGGTGTTGGAGCTGACATGATCTTTCTATATTCAGCGACTGTAGTGCACCACTCTCGTTGAAAATCTTTTACTGCGGTGAAAGGAGCAGGATTTCCCTGTTTGCTCCAATATGCTCTTCGCCATCCTTCATTTAACGACTATATGCACCACCCTCGTTGTAGTTACTACACCAGGTCAACTTGTAAAGAGTCCGCTGACATCCATCTTCTAACGACTACCACCGTTAACCACAGGGTAAGCACTCCTAAAAACTACACCAGGTCACGTCTCATCCCTCGGACGACTCTCACTTCAGGTCAAGTCATCCCGCTGACGACTACGTTCGCTTTGTTATCGAAGTTGGCGCGGTTTGGGTGTGATTCTCTCATAGTTGAGAACTTGCCCACTAATGCTGATGAGATTAGATATTTGGCGGAAGAATTCGATATCTCGGCCGTTTTCTCCCTCATCCCTCAGGGTGAAGATTCTCATAACCACTGGATGACTCAGTTCTTGGAGAAAAAGAAGGGAGAAGGTACTTGGAACTGAGTGTTAGTTTGAGGTGTTATGATGGATTATCAAAAAGGTCCACAAGAATGTTTCAGGTTACTAGTAGATCCAGGTTACTAGTAGATCATCATCAACGTTTTCTCAAGTGCTAGCGCTAGTTGTAACCCTTAAATCTTTCTGTTATGATAAATTATGAGAACTTCCAAAGATATTAAGTTCTTCTCATACCGATTTGTTTCTTTACGACGACTTAGAAAAAGGCATCCACCAGGCCATGCGAAGAGACAAAGCATTACATTCTTCATCATCTTCATCATCCCGCTACTAAATCTAAAGTTGAAAGTGATCAGATAGTACAACAGAACAACAACAACTACGACAACACCCCAGGCCACGCTCTTATGGACTACGAGATCATGTTTTCGGATCGCATGGAAAATCTGACACTTGTGCACAATACTTTCTCAGCTGGTGGAGAGGTCAACGTTTACCCACTAGACATCACCATCCAAACAACCGCAGAAGAGGTCGTAGACCTGGCGTTAGCGGCTTTGAAGTACTACTACTTTTTACTAACCGACTCCTATGTTTCTTTCTTGTATATTCTGGTGTTTATACCTTTTCTCACACTGATTTTGTTTTCGCAGGACCACCGATCACATTTCCACGCGTATGCGATGACGCAGCATGGAAACAAACATTGTATGACTTCACTTATAAATTACTCATATGGGACGACACCGTATCTTCCTATGTCCTATGTTATCCTATCCTATGTGCTATCCTATCCTCATTCATCGGTCACCCGTAAAAACAACAGGGCTAAATATGTGTTGCTTACTGGAGTTCCAGTATCTGGAGTGAAAGAGGTGGCTGCTGGCTTAGCCGCCAAGTATTCTCAGATCTGCACCTGCACCGCTGAGGACATCGGCTTCGTTCCGGGAACCGAGACGAGCAAGTTCATCGAGTCCCTGTCTTATGGTGTTTGGAACGTGTGCTTAGGCATATGCTAGGGTAACTCTAGTTTCTTGGAACCCATGTGCTAGAGGATTTACTAGAGTATATACTAGAGGATCTACTAGAGGAACACTTCTAGTTTCTTGGAACCCATGTGCTAGAGGATCTACGAGAGTACATACTAGAGGATCCACTAGAGGAACACTTCTAGTTTCTTGGAACCCATGTGCTAGAGGATCTACGAGAGTATAAAGTAGATGAGTAACTACACTGGATCGTACTGCAACGCATGTAAGTAGATCATGTTCTCTGAGGATATACTAGAGGATCTACTAGAGTAACACCTCTACATTTCGAGTTGTGTATACTAAAGTAGATGAGTCTGCAGCTACTTCAAGGTCTTGAAGCCTTCTTCTTGCTCCGCTTACCTATTCCTATGCATATGTGGAACAGGGGAACTGGATCGTAATGCATGTAAGTAGATCATGTTCTCTGACGCATTACGCTCATTTCTTGAGGGGACTCAAGACCGATACTTCTAATTCTGATCCTTCTTCCACGCACATGCGAAGGCTGGAGTGACCTTTGTGCTGGCAGGACTTCCAGTGAATAGTGAGCAGGCGCTAGCGCTGATCGAAAACTTTTTAAGGCGTGTAGTCGATTTTTTCTCTACCACAATTACTTCCTTTTCACTGAAAAGTAGCTAAGTAGGAGCTATGTAGATTAGTAGATGGAATCCTATCTACTCTACCGCATAGTTCCCATCTACTCTACCGCATAGTTCTTGTTAGGAATACTTTATTTCGCTGAAGAGACCACGAACAACAACAGCTATTCCACGACTTAGTAGTACTTTGTATTTGAGACTGAAGAAGATAGACACCACGGCCCCCAACAACGATCTCGGCATGCTGCTCGTGAAACAAAATATAGAAATAAGGGACAACCAACTTTGTTGTTCTAATTTTCGGTGCGCCTCTCGCAGCTTATTACTTCAAAGGAAGCAAAGATGTTCTCTGGGCCAGAGCTGAGGCGCAGAATAGTGCTCTGGAAGAGCCTCTGTCGCTGGATGCAGAGTCATGGGGTGCCGAGTTCGAGGCTCAAGAGCCGATCTTGGATGGAATTTTGGATTGCCTAGCAGAAAAAACTGGCGCCACTGGAGGAACATTGTATAAGATTATGGCGGATTTTAATTCTCGTGACGGATGAATATAGCAAAAGAATAAGATGATAATTGCCCTTTAGTTTTCTTCTTTCTATCTTCCTCTGGTCTTTCTTTTTTCTAGTTAGGTCGGCTCCGCCACAAATATAGCAAAAGAATAAGAAAGTCCTTGAGGACCCAGCGGGATGAACATTGGAATCAAAGAACATCATTATAGCAAAAGGATGAATAAGGGTTCAAATCTAGATGTTTCAAGAGAGCGACTTTACTTACTTAAATAACTTGTTTTCGTAAAAATGATCATAGACAGTTTTATACTCCATTGTACATTGTACTCCATGGTACATTGTACTCCATTGTGTATTGTACTCCCTGTTTGCACTCCATGTAGTTTGTCTTAGCCTCTAAGAAAACCCTCGAAGCCGATGTCGAGGATTACGCAACGAAGTACGTGGAGACCTGCTCAGAGAAGTTCGTCAAGAAATGCGTGCTGTTGTTAAGGCCCTCTTTATCTACTTTTCACTCATTTTCCTGTTTTATTCCTTTTCATCTAGTGGGAAGCCTACTGGAATCTCTTGATTAATGCTAATACTCTTGAGAAAGGGAACATGAACACCTGCACCTGTGCGGAGGCAGTAAGAGAGTTAGACCACGAGGAAGAGCACTATGCTAGGCGCAGGACTCTGAAACGCAAAGGTTATTAGCTCCCAGCGCGACAATCTGTAAAAGCTAGTAGGTGTCTTATTATAGGTCACCAAAAAGTTTTTACCTCTAATCCTAGTAGCCCCAAGTGGAAAGGATTTGCCAGCAGTGGTCGGCACATACCTTGCGAACAAAATACCCGATGTAAAACTCTGCGATATGGGAAATTTGGTACTACTAATAGACTCTGTTGATCATCATGAGTGACCTCGTGATAATCATGATATTCTCTTCCCCGAATTGGAGTTGTAATATCAAATTTCACGGCCTCCTCATAATCCGCAACATACAAGGTCGTGTCCACCTCTATGTCTTACCTATTTGACTAGTACATCCCAAAAATCCCATCTAAGTACGCTTTTTCTTTCCTGCAACTTTGCTAGAACGTTCCTAAACCCTAAACCCTAACCCTAAACCCACACAACAGGTGTCTTCGGCGTCATCGCTGCTCTCTCCAGCTCTTGCGGAGAAGTTTGCGGGTGAGCTGTGCCGAGTGAGTCAAGGCCTGAGCGCTCCATCAGCTGCACTTTGCGGCGCCTTGCTCACAGCAACTGCGGAGAAGAACGCTTGCACGACGCTGATCTTAACGAATTTTATGGCTTGTTTGATGTGTGCCTTGTTTGTCGTGGTGGATACCTCTTTCGTACAGACTCTCTATGTGATTTTGAAAAAATAGGAGGAACCTTTCCTATTTAGTCACTATAGTGTCTGTGTTTCTCGCTAGAAATGTCACTAAATAAAACAACCGGTTCGTTTTTACCTCTAGCGTGCAGCCCTTCCAACAATATATCCAAGCATTCTAAGAACCACCTTTCGCTGTGCGGCGGCTCCTATCCCAGTGTCCGAGACCTCATGGACACCCTGGTTGGCGTGATGGAGCTGCAGAAGATTGTGTACTGCAAGTTCCAGAACGCGGACGGTTCCGTCATGGCTGAGGCTCTTTCAGAGCTAGCAGAACCTGAGGATCTCACTCCCACGTTCCAGGCTGTGGAGTACCTGGCGGCCAATTGCAGCGACCTTCTAGTGGAGTGCGTGCCTGACATGGAGACCGATTTTGAGTCGACACACTACGCGGCAAGGATCACGGCAGCACTGTCCCTCTAGAAGAGCAAGATGCTGTGACTTCACTGAAGCAACGATTGATGTGATCCTAGAAGATGTCGGCTTTGCTACGATTGAGGCCATTCATCTAGAAGGTCAAAATTAATGCTTCTCAGTAGGTGAGAGGAGGTGCCAAGACTAATGGACTACAACAGATGATTCCACAAGAACACAGCAAGTGTCTAATTCCTGATCATGATTTTCTCAGCCGCGAAAGGAAGAGGTAAATGTGCTTCGAAATCAATGAACATCGATCCAGTCGTCCCGCCCTACAAGTACAACTATCAGAATCACAGACCACAACATCAGCATTGCAGCTGCTCTCAACTTGATGATAAAAATTGATGTTCTTATGACCAGTCCATTCTTACCAAAAATGACCGATGCTACGTCTGTCAAACTCAAAGTCAAAACAATTTTGAACTCGATCGCTATACTAGGATTTCGCTAAAGGATTTATCTAAACGCAAAACATTTATTTTAGTTACTCTTTCATCTATTGATTACTTTCATCCACTAACTTACTAAAAAATGCAATAAGATTTAATAGTTTGTGATGGTCTTAATTTTTACAGAAGTCAAACAATGCTCGTCCTGCTCTGGTACCTTGATGCCAGTAGACCTTTCTTCATTGAATCAACTAGCTAAGTTACAACGAAAAAAATACATCACGATGAAGTTACAACGAATAAAATACATCACGATGAAGTTACAACGAAAAAAATACATCACGATTATCTTCACGTAATTGCGTCTTCACGTAATTGCGCCTTCACGTAATTGTACAACTTTCAACTTCTATTTTCCTCGTATGATTCAAACTATGACCAGGCAAGGACGGCCTGCCCTGTTTGGTGTATTGAGAGAGCCTCGTCTCGCGTTTGTCATGTGCGAAGGTGTCTGCCTGTATTCTTGCGATGGTGAGAGCAAAGAGAGAGGAAGCTTGTATCTGTCTTGAGGGGGTGTAGAGGTCTGTGCGAGATGAGTACTAGGAGTACTGTTCGTGAGCGATTTGCATCTGAGAAAGTCTGCTCTGTTGGAGTCTATTTGCACCATCTTGGCAACCATGCAAATGAGAGATAGGTGAAATAGAGATTGTCTCAAGTGAGGACAGAGACTGCAGCTAGGATAGGTATACCTAGTGTTTGTGAACACTAGGACTGCTTACTTTCACCCTTGTGGTGATGCGTTTTTTATATAATTCCCGGCCTGTTTCAGTTGTGCAAATTGTGAAGGTTTTGCATGATTCTCATGCGGTTGCAAAGTTGTCAAATGTGTGGACCTTCTTGATCATAAGTATCACGATAAGGATCCACATCATTGGCATAGTGTTCCAGTGCTGTGATCTTTGTCACCATAGGACTGCAATGATTTCCATCACTTTCATGTTGATGATCTTCATGCTCATACGACTAGGATCATCATCTTCTTCGTCTTCTTATTCTTTCAATATTTGCGGAACAGGGGAACTTGATCATATCCCCCCTTAATCTATACTCCATCTAATGAATGACGTGTAGACTACAATAATCATAGTGGTTGCAAGTTCGACTATATTCCAGCGAATGAATATAATACGGAAAAAACATGATGCACGTTATGACTGAAGATGAATAATCTTTGTTGCACAATATTAGAAACATAGGCTATTTCTACGTAGCCAAGTATAAGACTTAGAGTTCTTCTCCAAAGTCTTCTTCAGCAACATCCTCAGTGTTGTTTTGTTCTTCTCCGTTTTCCTCAGGGGCAGCGGCTGCTTCCGCCGGTGCTGCCTCTGCTGGTGCTGCTTCTCCCTTTTTTCTGGCTTTCTTCAGCGGCGGCCCTTTTGCTCCGCCGTCTTCTTGTTTACCTTTCCCCTTTTTGCCTTTGCTTTTGTCTCCTTTGTGCGGCTGCTGCACCGCTTGCTTCCCCTTTCCTTTGTGGTAGCTGCTGCAGTTCTTCGTCGCCGAACTACTACTACTACTGGAACTACTAGAAGAAGAGGGAGTTTGTTTCCCAGGTGCCATTTTGTGGGACACCCGTGTCGACGTTGGACAGGCTTGAACGAGGTTGATTGTATTCTCCATAACTCCCATGGATCCAACGGCATCCAGGTCACTCACCGCCTCCCGAGCGTAAATTAAACGGAGAATGCAACTGTGGAAGAATGTGCTTCCTTCTTTCCTCATTTTCCTTGCCAGGTCCCAATACTCAGTCTGCAGAGCAAGACCCATATCCGAGCACTGTCGACTGTAGTGAGAATTCATGTTCGGGCCGTGGTTGATTATCCACTCCTTCCAAACATTCTCCTCTTGGACAAGCATGCACGATAAGCATAGTTGGAATGCTTTTGCGTAGTCGCCGCCCGACCTACATCCTTTCAAAGTTGCGACGTGTCGCTCAGTGATCTCGTAGAAGATGTGGCTCTTTATTCCGAGATCAGCTGGAAAAGCAGGCGAAGGGGGTCTTGTAGCAAGTGACACCTCGTTGCCTCGGATTGCTGACATCAAAGATTGACGCCAAGCTTCCGCCCCTTGTAGTCGTTGAGTCTCCTTCAGAACGATTACTCTCGCGAAGCCCGACATTTTGTTTTTTTTTTTTGTTTTGGGTAGTTGTAATCTATAATGTTAGATAGTTACAAAATACAGCGGTAAACTACTGAAGAAATACTATACGCGCACTAAATATTTATGACTAGAACCCAGCTAGAAATAGACGAAAAACAAACTTCGAAACAGTAAACAAGAATAGGCATGAAAATCCGATAACGTTTATCGAACTTAAAAGATGCAAGTATAAATACACACGAGATCCGACAACGAACCTCGATGAGTAGAAAAGAACTAAGTTTACTTTTTGGGTTTTGTTCCTGCGATTTTATGGCATAGACTCACAAGTGTCGGCTTATTAAGTGCCTTTGTGAAGATGTCTGCCTTTTGCTCGTCAGTGGGACAGAAGTGTAGATCTAATTTCCCTTCTCCGACAACTTGGCGGATCCAGAGTAATTTAAGATCCATATGCTTGACCCGACGAACTTCTGGCGATTCGCCGACCGCTTTCGCGCTTCGGTTATCGATCATTAAAGGAATTGGAGCTAAAGACTTTTTCAGACGGCCATGAGGATCCGTCGAATTTGATTGTCGGCTATTGCCTAGATTTTCAAGAGATTCCTGAAGTAGTCTCCGGAGGTAAACTGCCTCCCGCGCGATTTCAGTCGCGGCTATAAGCTCCGCCTCTGTCGTTGATAGTGCTACGACAGGCTGCTTTTTACTTCGCCACGCGATAGGCGTGCACTTGGTTTGGCCTAATTCGGCGAGACCTCCACTGACCGATCTACGGGTCTTTTTACATGTTCCCCAGTCAGCATCTGACCAAGCTTTTGGAGTTAAGTCACCGTCGCGACCGTCAATGTCTAGGGCGAAGCTCCGCGTCTTGCGAAGATATCCTAAGAATCGATCACACACTCGCAGGGCCACTGGCGTGGGCTCCTCTAGACATGTGGATAGGTATTGAACGACATACGCAATGTCATACCGTGTTGATGTACATAGGTACATGACCGCACCGACAAACTTCCGGTAGGTCGATTTTTGTACGCGTGTAGCGATTTTCGGGCGAGATTTCTCAGAAAGCTCTTTTTCGAAACGATCTATCTCCGCCCGTGTTATGGGAGTATCGCACTCTTACAGAGTTTTATCTGGGTCAAAGTCTTGCAGAATCTTATCGACCAGATTTTCTTGACTCAAGGCCAGTCTGCGTCTCTTCTTGAGAACGTTGATGCCTAGAAACTTATACAGTAGTCCGCCGTCCTCGAGCTTTTGCGGTTCACACGTATCGTGTTCGAACCTGTCAAGGATCGAGCCTCGAGCCGCGGCTATGTCCTCTCTCCGACCTAGAAAGACTATGTCATCCACGTATGCGAGCATGCACACACGGCGCTCGCCGTGAAAAAACATGGACGGGTCGTTTAAGCTCTGTTTCCAGCCGGAGCTGGTGGCGTGTCTTGCGAACGTCTTAGCCCAGAGAGCTGGGGCACTTTTCAATCCATACAGGGCTTTCTTGAGTTTCCATCGGACATTTTCCTTTCCTTTGCGCCACTCGGGGGGTGGTATGCAGTAGACGTCCTCGCCGACTATGTCTGCATATAGGAAAGCTGTCTTGACATCATATCGCTCGAGATCAAAGTCTAGCGCCATGGCTATCCTGAACATGAGCCGAATACTTGGGATCCGAGGAACGGGCGAGTAGATGCTCTCTTGGTATTCTACTCGGTTTCCGAGCACGACGGCGCGACACTTGAGTCGCCCACACTCTTTGACGTTATATAGTACTCGTATCGGCACAGCCTTCGCTCCTGGAGGCAGGTCGTTGGCCGATATTTCATCGAATACGTCTCGTCCCTTGATCGAATTTAGCTCTGACGCCAGCGCGGCGGCCCAGCCTCCTGGATCCTCTGCGAGTGCCTGTTTTCGCGTCAAGGTCCTTAGCAGGAGGACATACTCATCGTGGGTCCGAGCGTCCGTAGTGTCGCCAATCTCGATTTCTGATAGATTCTCGATGATGTTGGCTATAAAGTCGACACTCTGAGGGGACAGGTCCTCGATGAATGTGACTGCCGCAGTGTGTCCACTGGGAAGCAAGGTCTCCTCTTCCTTGTGCTTACTGCGTCTCTCCAGTTCTCGCTGCAGGTTAAGGTGTACAGGCCGACTCTCTAAGCCCATTTCCTCACGGAGCGCTTCCGCGAGTGCCACTGATCTATGGCGACCTTTCGAGCACTGGAGCACGGGCTTTCCGCTCTTTTTGAGAAGTTTGGTCGCATCGTTGAGGAGTTGCGAGTAGTTCTCATGTGTCTTGATACCGTCAGACACTTCAGCGCAGAGGCCTGTGCTGTTTGGAATGTACCTAGCTGGATCAGCTGGAAAATATTTATTGACTCGGAGAACAGCCGCGCCGAGGCGCTTGAGCTTGGCGGGGATTTTGTCTCCACAGCTGAAGAGTTGATACCGACTCAGATTCTTTGGGACTTGGAGCTTCTCCAACATATCACGCGTGAGACGGACTACGGACCCCGACTGTGCGGCGTCAGCCTTTTCTGGTTGTCCACTGTCTCCACTTTTGTCCGGTTTCGCTTCGGGAGCGATGGACGGGCGGGATGGATCCCCCCTGTATGTTGGCTCCGCGCCAAAGTCTACTTCCCTGGTCCTGATGACCTTTTTCTTCTGCTCGTCCCAGACTAAATAGTCTGGCGATAGGTGCGAGTATCCTACAAAAATACCCGGAAGATACGCGCGCTCCATCTTCGTTTTCACGAAGTTTTTGTATCGGCAAGGCGTCCCGAAGGTCCGCATATGCTGCGCGCCGGGCTTAACCCCGTTACGCTTTTCGTAGGAGCTCACGCTCCCGAGTATCGCGCGTGGCGACCTGTTTAATGCGTAGCAGAATGCCTGTGCTGCGAAACCCCAATAGGTGTCCGGGAGTCGCGCTGTATCTAGGAGACACTTCATCCCCTGCATGACGAGACGATTATGAACTTCCGCGCTACCATTTTGCGCCGGTGAGTACGGTGATGTCTTGCGCGGCCTGATGCCGTGCTTTCTCAACAGTTTGAGGAAGTCGCCGTCGAATTCTTTTCCGTTGTCCGAGCGGCAGACTTTCGGCACTCCAAACATGTCCGTCCATTTCTGGAGTCCGGTGTATGCGTCGCTTTTGCGCGCAATTGGGAAGACTTCTACCCACGAGTCATATCTATCCACGATGATGGCCCAGTAGCGGTTGCCGCCTATCGATTCAGGTAGCGGCCCGCAAAGGTCCACGCTGATTGTGTGCCCAGCTTCGGTCGGGAGGAGTCGTTCGCGCGTTTCTTTGCTGAACGGTTTCCGGCGAGCCTTGTTCAGTCGGCAAGCCTCACAGGACGGCATGTAGGTTGAATGCCCCATCCTGTTGTGGATGACCTCTTGGGTCACGTTGAGCTCTCCCGAGTCCAGGTTAGGCCTGTAGCTGAGGCGGAAGAAGTATAGTCCTCCCCTCTTTGTGATTGGGATCAGCGTCCCGCTAGGTGTTCGCAGTCCGTCGAAATTTTCTGTGACGGTAAAACCTGCGTCCAAGAGCATACTGAGACTGGCGACATTTCGCGCCATTTTCGGATTATAGTATGCACGGCGAAGGGCCAACTTATGCCCGTTGTCTGCCGTTAGTGTCCGTAGTGATGCCATGTAACCGCCATTAACATGCGACCCATCCGCTTGTTGGATTTTCCCGCCGTCTTTGGTCGGAGCACGGATCACGTTGGAGTCTTTGACACAAAATATTGTGGCTCCACTGTCTAAGATCCACTCAGTTTCGATCTCATCGCTGACAGTGTGCAGAAGGATGCTTTCGAATTCTTGAACCGTGCGCATGCACGCCTGATCCAAGGGCTGCCGAGTTCCTTCTTTCTGTCCCGTCGCGGACTGATGCTGCGACGTGTCGAGAAGTTGTTTTTGGTCGCCCTCGCTGACGACTGGCTCGCAGGTGGGACACCCATCCTTTTGCGAGTCTTGCCTGCACGCACACGACGGAGGTTGCCGCGGCGCCAGACTGTCTTTGTCAATAGCATTGACGAGATCAGCTCCCTTCTCACGAAGGAAATCGATCCAGTGTACACTTCGTTCCTTTGCTCCATGCATCCCATGGAGGCTTTCTGATCCAGGTGGACGCCACCCGCCACTGGATCTTCTTACCTTGGGCACGGGGGCCGAGTACGATACTAATCCCGTCCCAAGGTTTTCCATCCTTCTCTTTTGAGATTCGCTGTTGAGTCACAACAGCGGCACAGCGCCGCCGAGCACTGTGATGCGCGAGGCGATGCCGTCCCTCTTCTTGCCTGACCCGGATGGATTGGTAGTCATGCCCTTAGGCTGATCCTTGTTTTGCGATCCTCCATATTTTCCTCCTTTACCTTTTCCTTTGCCCTTACCTTTACCTTTACCTTTTCCACTGACCTCGGTCTTCTTTTGAGCCTGCCTGGAGAGTATCTTCTTTGCCTGTTCGGAGATTGGTTTGGTGCATTGCCACATCGTGTGCGCCGAAGAGCCACAGTTGTAGCACGTGCCAGCTTTGTGCTGTTTGAATGTTGCAGGTGGGTCCGTGACTTGAAAGACTTCCTCAGCGCCCGGCGTGCGTGTAGCAGCGCGCCCGTCCAAGTTGACTTTGTTATGCAAGGAGTATTTTGTTTCCTTGACAACATTCTCCAACTCGAAGTCGCCTTTGAGGTCTCTTTGGATTCCCTGCATTTCTTGCGAAGGGATGTCACTCCCGATGCCTTTGAGGTAGCACATTCCTGCAACCTGCTCCATCGTCATGCCCTTGACTTTGGCATATATGATGCGGAAATCTCTTTCCGCGCTGACAGCGTTCTTTGAGGATGCTTGGAACTCGATGAGCTGCCAAAAGTCATCCCAGATTTTCTGCTGTTGACGGGGATTTATCCACCGCTCTAGTTCTTCCAGCAGTTCCTCGACGGTTGCGAAGGTTTTCGTCGCAAGGTGGTCGGCGCATTCTTGTCCGATCTTGATGGACTGTTCGACGCGATAGACGAGATCATCCAAATCGAGATGACGCTCATACGTCGCGCGAAACTTTGCGAGCTTCTTGAGCCACATATCGTGCTCTTCAATCTTTTTGAGTGGCACTATGTTTTGTTCGACCTTTATCCTGCGGCGCGACTCCACCGTTTTCCACGGTGTTTTGTCTTCATCCTCCTCCGCCGGTGGAGGGGTTTCCTCACCCGTTTGCGAGGGGTCCTCCTCTTCGTCCGATTTGGCGAAGTCCGTATGGTTGTCGATTAGGCTACTGTAGATTTCACCGACTTCGTTGTCCTCTTTGAGAGTATTTATCTCCTGGAGACAAGCATCAATTTGCGATTTCAGAACTCGCTCTTCCCAGAGTGGGTCCCCCTCTTTCAGAGGTTTAGCACCCTCAGGCCAATCTTCACTCTTGATTTTGCAGTAGACGAATCTGCCTCCGCCGTGTGCTTCCGAGGGGTAGCAGTCTACTTCGGCATCTTCGTAGTCAGGTGAGCCGTCGACGTTGATGGCGCCGCGCCTGTACTTGATGCTGCCTTTTCTTTCGGCATTGTAGTATTCTGGCTCAATGTAGACAAACGCCATTCCACTGATGACATACTGCTCCAAGCGCTTCACGCGCGCAGCGTAGATTTTCATGGCTGGGGCCATTTTTTCTCAGTGGGGTGGGATCCTGATCACCACCGAAGCACCCGAGATATCGCGCCTTGGCAAATTGCTGCTAGCTTTCCCACTGTGCGGGCCTCTTTATGGGGAGACTTTGCACGGGATCCGACTCACGTCAAAGGTCAAATAACAAAATCTGCCGAAAAAAGACAAGGTGTTAGATGGACGCGCAGCCGTGTGTCGCGATATCGCCCCTTCCGGGGTTTCGGGCGCACGAACTTCTCCGCCAAACGAAGAAGGACGCGTCTTTTTGTGGGGTTGCGGTCGCCTGGGCGAGCGCAGGTTTTTGCTTTTGAAGCAGTCGCGTTTCGCGAAAGCTTGTCTTTCTCTTTCTTAGGTGCCGCCGGACTCAGTCCGAGGGTCTTTAGGTGGGCCGTGGCGACGGCTTTGCCCTGTCTCCGGTCGTGCCGTGAGACTTTTTCTTTCTTGTATAGCTGAGGTCGTAACCAAAGCTAATCTGAATTACTGTCGAGGAGCCACACCCGAACAGCTACAGACTTTTGTTTATGGCTGCTGCCGACTAGGTCGGGAGCTTGGTGCCTTTTCTGTTTTGTTTTAGTTGCCCCGCCACTGGGCTAGAGTTGGTTTATTTTTGTGAAGCAGATGCTGAGTCTGCTTTAGGGTCGACGGGATCGTTCTCGACGTATCGAAGAACAATGCCGCCTGGAGAAACGCGCGGGGCCAAAATCCGACTGAATCGGGACTACCACTGCGTACAGGAACGAAGACGCCAAATTTTTCTAACCTAAAAAACCAGAAAAAAACACTAGACCAAAAAAGTCAAAAATTTGGTGGGTTCTAAGTCAAAAAAATTATTCTAGTGCGCGTATAAAAGGCTAGTGACTCACTGTTTGTGAACACTAGGACTGCTTATTTTCACCCTTGTGGTGATGCGTTTTTTATATAATTCCCGGCCTGTTTCAGTTGTGCAAATTGTGAAGGTTTTGCATGATTCTCATGCGGTTGCAAAGTTGTCAAATGTGTGGACCTTCTTGTTCATAAGTATCACGATAAGGATCCACATCATTGGCATAGTGTTCCAGTGCTGTGATCTTTGTCACCATAGGATTGCAATGATTTCCATCACTTTCATGTTGATGATCTTCATGTTCATACGACTAGGATCATCATCTTCTTCATCTTCTTATTCTTTCAATATTTGCGGAACAGGGGAACTGGATCACCTAGCATTTACTTGTGCTACAAAGTTCAGTTGTTACAGCATTTCTGCCCTCCTAGTTGGGTACGTCGTCATCCACTTTTCTCCACAGTGAATGTACAGAGATTCCACTCGTCAGAGCTCCTCTAACAGTCTAAAAAGAAAGCTTTCCCAAGGTTATCTTTCGAGCACTCTTAGGGCTCGCTATACACATACTAGGGCTGTAATTTTCCAAGGTATCACCGATATAGAATCGAAAAATAGGATCAACATCCATCTCTTAGACGGGATCTGGGTTGACTTTTCCAAACAACATAAGGACCACCTGTTTGGCCATTCTGATCGTCTTCGAGATGTCGCTCACTCTCTTCGGTAGCTGCAAAAAGATGAGAAGCAGCCGCATGCTGGGGCTTGCTTATGGGGTTATTTCTTCATCCTGTCTTATGAAAGATCACGTTGTGGTTGGTGTGCAGTTGCGTTTGATGTCCGCTGGAGGCACTACACCTTCCGACCTCCAGGTGGATGAAACTAGTGCAATCACGAGCAAGTGCGACATTTCATTTGGGATCAGCGGCAGTCACAGACTTTCTCTAGAGATTAGAGGTCCACGACCGTTGAGATTTATCGTAGGTCAAGCTCAACCTGGTTTCCAGCGTGATACTGAAGATGATGATGATGATGATGACCAGCGCGATGTTGCAGCGTCGAGTCAGCTTACGGAAAGTAGCACGGTCGGAGACTTGGTGGCTTTGGCGCTTGAAAAATTCCGGAACACAGGAACAGAACACACAAGATCAGAACAAGGCGCAGCTGCAACGTACGACTACTTTCACAACGACGTGCTCGGTTTCCATGCACGGTTGAACGTGCGCGCGGTGATGGTGGGCACAAACGTTTTCTCCCAAGAGAACCTTGACATGACGCTTGGCGATGTTGTTGCGAAGACCGCAGGTGGAACGATGAAACCACAGAGTACCCAGTGGTTGATCGTACCTGAGCCCGAACAGCCTGAGGCCTACACCACGAAATGGGATTTTTGGAACCTTTACAGCAGAAGCCGGCTGTTGCAGTTTGTGACGAAATATCCGGAGTGGCTCTCAAAATGTAGTACATCCAGATCCTCCATGCGTTCCAATGGCATGGAGGCCCTCAAGCACGTTGACAAAGAGCTCGTTTTATCCGTTATCGAGGCAGTCGGCTACGGTCTCGCCTTTCGAAATGTGCCTCAGGAATTGAAAGACTCCGAAGATTTTATACAGGCAGCGGTCGCGCGCAAGGGGGCTGAGGCGCTCCTTTACGTTCCCTCAGAAAAGCGCCGCAGCTGCGACTTCATCCGCAAGATGGTCCAGGTAAATGTTGAGGCGTTTCGGTACGCTATGCCGAATGTGCAAAGAGGAAGTACGCGCTGCTATCCGCGCTGAAATACAGGAGGATCTACAACATCAAAACTTCTATCCCGAAACATCTGCAAAAATAGAAGCATAAGTAACTATTGACAACTGCTAGTTTGAATCAAAAGTAAGAGACTTTCCATTGGAAGAAATCATGATTGACATAATGGAGAAATGATTCGATTTTTTGGAGATACCAAATCAACTATTTTTTCACTGAATCACTCGAGATAAGGATAACTAAGTAGAAGAAGCTGATAAGATTGAAACTGAAGAACTGACACGATGGAATAATCGTGTATCCCCATCATATAATGTACTGGATGAAATAATCGTATATGTATATCATCTACATCATGTAGTTTGCTAAAGTTGGAAGCGGGTTCTATAATGTAGTACTGGAGGTCAACGCAGCACTGGATGTAAGAAAATGTAGTGGCAAAAAAAGCTTCTTTCGCGTAAGAGTTGGACGTTAATAGGTGCCCGTGTTTTGCATCGGTTTCCCGTGTTCATCGCGCTACATACCGGTCCGTTTCTTTTTATTTCTGTCTGTCCGATTGTTCAGACACTCACCTGCTCTCCGTTTCCCTTTATAAGAGATCTTTTCATGTGCGACTTCAACCTCTGCATTGATTGTACCTTCTGATCGATGCGTCGACCACTACTAGCCGATACTACCCAACATGCTTGGACTCAAGCAAGAAGGAGAGACTTGTCAGATATCTGAAATGTTGCAGATGTCTTCGTCGTCGAGGTTTGGGCGATAGATGCGGCTCCGGTAGATGCGACTTCGACAAGTAACTTGATACCCAAATAGCGACGATGATTTGGCTTCTCTCTCGTTTACGCCAGCTAGCCCTAGACGAGGATCGGCAGAACGACTTTTGGTCTGGAGGCATCACGTTTTCCTTGATTTAAGGGTCGAGGATAATTTAAGAGTATGATGGTAGAATGAAAAGCGTACTTCCCCCAATCGAACGGCATGATGTTTTCGTTCGGGCGTGACGCCAACATCAACTGGAAACACGGAATCAACGCACTCCCGGAGGAGGAACAAGACGGGAAGGGGAGGATATCAATATAAATCGCACCCTCTAATTGATACTGACTCCTTCCATAGCGATCCACGCTTCGGCGAGTGGCGACATATTCGCGGTAGCTTGGTACCTGTGGCTGCCTGCAACTTTGTTGCTCCTTTTGCTTAAGGCTGGTCAGGGAAATCTTAGGCACATTGCCCAATAGAGTCGAATCATCAAGACTCACTATCAGAGAGTCAGATCATCAAGGCTCACGATCAGGAGTAATCTCTACGGATGCTACGAACAGGTGAGATGGTACGAACAGCATCACCCGAGACTTTTGTTGATTAACATGACAACATGCATCTTCTCACGATCGTCGATTTATCTCCGCTTGTTTCCGCTTTGTCAAATTGGAAGACGATGATTACTTACACTATGAAGATGATCAGACTATTACATACAATTATATACTTTCATTAGGTTTTTGCCTCTAATGTGTTCTTTGCCACGGCTGTTGGTTTTCTGATTCTCACTTGGTTAGGCGACCCAGGTTGGGTACATCCTCCGGTTGCACGGCAAGCAAACGGATTCGCGTCTTCAGGAGAGCGACAAGTAGAAGAAGGACAACATCTACCACAGAGTATTCGATATGGGAAACCTTCGGTAAAACTGCTGCCAATCAGTACTTGTTCCAACGAGGGTGAAGAAAAGGTACCAGTAACGGGAATAGAGGAGACTCCCGGAGCAACGCAGACGACTCCTGGAATTATAGCACGAGAGACTCCCGGAGCAACGGAGACAACTCCTGGAATTATAGGAGAGACTCCTGGAGTAGGAGTTGGGGTAACGGAGACTCCTGGAAGCCAGGAGGGGGCTCCTCGAAGATGGATTGTTTCCATCGAAGAGCTCGTCTATCAAGAAGACAATGTGGTGCCGGACTCAAAACATGACGGCCAACATAGTGCTCACGATAAGAGTGCAGCATCTTCGGAAGCGTTAAAAGAGGGCGAACATTCTCAAGTAGAGCCAGGTGGCGAACATTTTCAAGATCATTATGTGGACGAGCAGGAGGTGACGCCGGCGCCGCGTCCTAGGTTTCCGGACATCAGTCTGGCGATTTTAGACATTTTCTCCATCATCATCAGATGGGATTATTAAGGGTAGGTTAAAGGTGCTTTTCTTACCGCTTTTTATGCCTCTCTCCCTTAGGATGAGAAAGGCAAAAGATGAAGTGGGGTAAGCAAGCACCAAAAGCCTACCTCTAAGATTACCAGGTCAGATCAAGTCTCTCTTCAAATTGTGCTTCCCTCTGTAGGATGCTGAGGCGGACAGTAGAAGGTGAATCTTTATCTTATTCGGAGACGAGGATCGGAACAGGAGAAAAAGGTTCTGCGCCAAAGGAGGCGTCTTTTTCAGAGACGAGGATCGGAACAGGAGAAAAAGATCTTGCTCTAATTCTAAAGGAGTCGTCTTCAAGGATACTTCTAGCACGGAAAGCTGTTGATACAGCTAGCAAAGAAGCTTCAACAACTTCAAGGAGCAGATCGCACTGTAGAACGGCTGATTCTGCGCTAAAGGAGGATTTAGAACGACACGACTATACTAGCTCTGCCTGCAACTACAGAGAGGGAGTACACTCACTAGCCGACGATGCAGGTGAATCTGCAGAGACGGAGAAACAAGAACATGTCGTAGTGGAGAAAGAGAAGCAGGAAGAGGCACAGCAACAAGTAGTGGAGAAAGAGAAACAGGAAGAGCAACAGCAACCAGTGGTTCTTGAAAAGCAAGGACCAGAGGACGAAAAACAGGAGAAACTGAAGCGCCAGATTGACCGGAATTTCAACGCCTATCATGCCAGTAGTTTTCCCGTGAATTTGGAAGTATCATTAAGCCTTGAATTGCCATACTCTTTTGTTTGAGACAGTGTAAAGATTTTGGGCTTCCTCGGCCCACCTCATCATTAAGACTTCAGGAACTGCCTCACTCTGCTAAAGGTCTAACTCACTCTGCTAAAGGTCTAACTCACTCTGCTAAAGGTCTAACTCACTCTGCTAAAGGTCTAACTCACTCTGCTAAAGGTCTAACTCAGAAGAACAACATTCCTCCTATTGGTAGCCTTTGCCATTTGGGCAACTTCGGATGCGAATACGTAGAAGCAAAGTGGTGTCATACTTAAGGCTGCAAGAAATCCATCTTCCCCAGCATCTTGGTCCCGTTTTTGAGGGAAAAACAGGGACCGATATGAAGAGCCGCAAAAAAGATCGATTAAATGTTGTAGCTCTAACATACGTGTCGCACGTATCGAAAACCCAGAGTAGTCCATTGCCGTCAATGCAACCAGTGCATCCAAAACTTCGATCATCACTGTCCTTGGGTTGGCAACTGTGTGGGGAAAAAGAACCTGAGATATTTTATGGACATATTTTGTGCGGCACATGATAAGACGTAGCTTTTCAATACAGTGCACATAGGAAGTAGTTTTTCAACACAGCGGGAAGCCATCTTGATGTGCGTGGGAGAATCCTATCCTTTCCTCCTCCTTCATGTCACTCGTCGGTTTTTGCGGTTCTACTGGAGTGCTGTCGGGTTTTACTTTCCTGTACGCACTGGCACATGCAGTATTGGATATCTATGTGCTCGGCGATGGCAGCCAAGCTTTCCTCCACTGGGCAACGCAGGAACATCCAGTGTCGGCTATTGTGATGATGTTTATGATGTAGACGTAGTTCCGATAGCTAGAACTCTCTGTGATGTTAAGCTAGTACTATGTGATACTGTGATGATGTTTATGGTCTACGCTAGTACGATCTGTTATTTTGATGATGTTTATAGTATCAGCTACTGTGATTCGTTTAGCTCATACTATCTGTGATGATGTTTATGGTTTAAACGGTCTTGCTTGAGCTACTGTGATGATTATGTGCCTAGAATCATGATGCAGTTCCAAACGACTCAATCAAATCGCAACAAATTATGGATATGGTGCTAGGTAATGCCAAATCAAAGCTTCTTATAATGTTAATGAAGAGATCAAATAATGCTAAATCAATACTTTTTCATGTATGAATCAAATTTACAACTCTAAACTTCACACCTTTTTCTCTATGTGGGCACCGTTCGGCATGTGTATCGTGGGCTGCGTGAACGCCATGTGCAGTCATACGACATATGAGGTCATCAGATGGCCTTTTGCTTAAGGCATTTCAGATTGAAGGAATTGTTGTATTCCCTTTTGCTTAAGGCATTTCAGATAGAACGAATATTTAGTAACACTTTGGTTCCACGCTTAGTTGCCAAGCGTCGGATACAGCAGGCATATACAGTGGGATATTAGAGTAGTCCAAATCAAAACCTACATCTTTTCGTCATAGATGCGGAGAGCCGCGACTGCTTGCTACCACCAACTTGTTCTACTACTCTCCGAGGCGAGCCAATTCCTATCCTATCCTATCCTATCCTGCCCTATTCTATAGTCGGACTTAATAGATGGCACTGGGACTTCTAGCCGCTAATTCACCTGCGTTGCGAACCGTTATTGGGTTCTGAATGGCGGGACCCGAGATCGCACCTATTACCATATCTTCCGAAAGCAGAGCCCCTACGACAATTTCTTGCACAACTTGGGACTCCGGGACATGCATAGGAAACAAGAAGTTCGCAAAAGAAACTTCTCATAAAAAGGACACTAGAGAATGCTAAGTTAGCAGTACAATTTCAAGAGATTATAACTTGTGGTAAGTACTACTGCTAGTTTGTGGTAAAAGTACAAGAGATAAAAACTCTGGAAGAGGAAAGAAGAGCGGACTGGAAAAATATGGTTGGAATTTGTCTTTTCGAGCATATGGGTGAAATCATATTACACACATACATTACAATGCAATTAGTGGGAAGATGACCCGTCTTCTCATGACACTTGTCTTGTTGCTCGGTCTGTGAGTGATTCGCGTTCGCATTCTGCACTCTTGTCACAAATTCCGGAGCACCGTCGATTTTGTCAGGTTTCAACACTACAAATGCTTGGAACAAGAACTCAATGTGGTTGAAGATATTGAAGACGCAGCTGACTCTGTGTGTGCAGCTTACTTCTTTGCTGCTAGTAACTCGAGTCCATTCCTGCAATTCTGGTGTCCACCGACTCTGGCGTCAAAAAAAATCTATGGCACGAGGAGTCCTCGACCAGCGAGGTTGATACTGTAATCTCCAGAAGAAATCCGTCTTGAATCTGTTCATCTTCTGGCGACAGCATGCAATAGAAAAGAATCTTCGTTTGAAGCGAAATCTGGTCTGATTAGCTGCTCTGGTCTTCCTTGTATCAGGTCTAGTACAAGAACAGTGAAAATTGTAAAAATCCGCGTGAATCCGAATGAATGCGATGCTGCTGATCTTCACACTTTTTTTTGTGACGGCACTACATCAACTAGTAACGCTGCGACTTGCATGTCGATAATGCAATGTTGCCAGACGACGTCCTATGTCTGACGAGGTTCGGGCATCACCCTATGAAGAATGTGTGAGGGGCTCTTTTTTCGGTCGTCGAAGAGTAGCACAGGTCGTGTGTCGTATGGTCCTCCGTCTTCGTAAATAAACAGGAGTTCATCTGGTTTTAATCATGCTCTCGTAAAAAAATAATCTGGTACCAATATTAGTAGAGCACCTGTTGTTACAGGGAAATCTTCTGATAAGAAAATTTTAATGTCTCCGGTACAAGAACAAGTCGGGTGCATGTGATCTCCATCCAGACCGTCGTTCCTGCTTCTGTCGTGAAAAAAATCTCATGATCTCTGTCTACTGTCGCATACAACGACGAGTTTCAAACCAATCTCTCCCATCAGTTTTGATATCGCAGGTTTGTTGAATTCGAGTGAAACGATTCGACTCTAGAGAGCGATCAGAGCAATCGAAAAATAATAGAGATGGTCCTCTAGAAGTACATCGATGAAGTTGAAGAAGAACGTTTCGGTATCTTGTTCATATCAGTCATCAAGTAGAACAGAATCGCGTTTGTGCTGTTGCCGATCACAAGCAATCGAAAAAATCTCTATTGTTGTACCCAAAATCTCTATTGATGTACCCATCAGATATCTTTTATCTAGTACAGGTTTAGAGCAAGAATTTTATGTGAGATTTACTAGAACAAGCTACAATTTCTAATGTCGGATGGTCGCAACTCTGTCATGAAATCTTCATCCTTGTTGTGGTCCTGAAAAGATATCGGCTCTTCTTGGAAACCTGATATCACTGGAGTTGCTTGTCTATCTCCACTCGGCTCCTACTCGGTCCTGCTGCGTGTCTTCCAGGAACTGTAGTACGCAGGAACTGTAGTACGTATGCCTCTGTAAGCCTCTGTTGTTGCAGAGTACTGAGTCTGCGAGTAGTACAAAGTAGTTCTGAGTCTGCGACGTGAACACATCGGAGCAGCTTCTCCTCTGTCAACGAAGGTTCTTACATCGTTACATCGGATATCTCTGTGTCCCTTCCAGCACTAGAAACACACGTCGCAGGGGACAACAATTTCTCAGCGGCACGGCAAGCTTAGGACGAAAGAAAGGTATCTATGGAAGTGAAACTTTGGATAGTTGTACTCACCTGAATTAATAGTTTATATAATGCCATTATTGACTCTTATTATAGAGTACTCACCTGAATTATTTTAGTACTCTATATAATAATCTTTGTCTGTATAATGCCATGCTTGAAAAATTTGACCATGATATTTGTTCAACAGCCTGCTCCCACGAGATTTCTTCCACCCATAGAACAATGCAATTTTCCTACAGAAGCAGTGCTCCTTCCGCAGTCCTCCTTTACATGCATTTATAGTCTCTTCCACGCATAGAACAATGAAACTTTCCTAGTACAACATTCACCATTAAATTATATCACCACAGGAGCATATACTTCCTAGTACAACATTCACCACCATTAAATTATATCACCACAGGAGCATATACTTCCTAGTACAACATCCACCATTAAATTATATCACCACAGCAGAAAAATACTTACACATCACCACAGCAGAAAAATACTTACACATCACTACAGGAGCTGCATTGCATATACTGCATCATCACACAAGATGCCGTCGTCCGTGGATTCCAACGTCGTGATTGGAGACGTCGTGAACGTGACGGCACAGAGGGATGCCTTTTTTACCGACATCCAGCTGCGGCGGACGAGGGAAATGGTGAAGATCCCGTTTCACCGGAACGAGTTCATCGGAGAAGACGTCGTAGCAGTGTCCATGGATCCGGTGACGAAGAGCGTCTCTTCTCTCTACAAGTGCCTGGTAGACAAAAAATTGACCAGCATTCCACTCAGCGAAATACAGTTCCCGAAAATTATGACCATTTTTTACAGTTGAAATTTATAAGGGAAAACGATTTACAGTTGAAATTCATAATAAGACAGGGAAATCTTTTTAGGCAGATAGCCGAGTAAATTCGTATCATCAGCAACAGCCTCAAAGTCACCTCCTACAACAGCAACATTCGAAGACATCGCCCACCGCCTACTTTCTCAGAGACTAGACTGATGTCCTTTATACGCTCTTACTCCACCGAAATACTGATCTTAGAAAGTCCTAGGTTCATCTTATTATTAATAAGACAGGGAAATCTTAGGCAGATAGCCGAGTAGATTCGTATCATCAAGACGAAGACCAGTTTTTACTACTGAGAAACACCTGCTTTCACTGCGGTGAACTTGGTAGTCAACTAGCTCTTCACACTAATATTTTGTTCCTTTGGACATAAACGCAAAGGGTTTTCTTTTTTTTCCTAGCTGGGACTCCACTGAGACTGAGAACAGAAAAACAGCATTACAAGATTCTTAGAGGTCTAGAGGAATTTCTCATAATCCTGAAGATCTACAGAGCGTTTATAGAAATAGCCTCTTCTAACAACCGAACTGGCGAGATCCGAGCAGCTGAGGACATGAGTCAAGAGCAGGACGCGCTAAACTGTGCGCCGAATAAGTTGGTAGTCAAGACTGTTACAGGGATAGGCTCCTCTGGAGCTTCGCTGTCTAGCGCCACAGCCACCGATGAAGAGTTGATGGTTGCCGCGTCTACGGGGTCGCTGGACGAAGTGAAGGTGGAATACATTTATGGAGAAATTTGAGGAAATTTGAGAGAGCTTTCAGAAAGAGAACATTTGATTTGAAGAAAGTGAAATCTTCAAATCATCTAATGAAAGTGAAATCTTCAAATCTAATGGAAAAACAAGCAGACAGAGATATTCAAGAAGCCGCATATACAGTTTTTACTGGAAGTGCTACGAGTAGCAACATCCAAAAGATTTAGAGCATTTAGAAAATTTAAATTCTTGAAAAACCCTTAAATTCTATTTTTTCACTGAGAAGAACTCCCGGCACTCACTAGCTACCTCTACTTCTAATCCCTCGGTCTGGAGCAGATCAATAACCTGACGGTCTTGCGGAAACTGCGTTGCGGAGATGAAATCGCATTTGATACTAATCGCAAGAATGAACTTTTCGGACCGATTTGGTTGCGTGTAGACGGTGCTGACTGGAGCTGCGCTGAGACTATTATGTTGGTTACAGTGGTCTAAACAAAGAAAGACTTCCTTATAACTTCGAGTGGTGTGGAAGGACAAAAAAGGCGAATGAATGAATGAATTGTCCCGCCGTTAGGCTAGTAGTACTATAATTGGGACACCATGGTGATGATATCGCATCGTCATCACTCTAGTTGTATAGCTCGTCCTTGTAGTCATCTTCTCTAAACAAAGTGCCGGAAGCGACACGCCGTATTCCTTGCAGTCTTCGTTGATTGAGAGTCCGACTCTAGTGGCTGGAAATTTAGGCGGTGTCCGAAACCCTGCCGCGTTGACCAGTCCTGTTATTACCAATTGTCCGAGCTCTAGTGGTACTGCTAAAAAGATCTCCTCTGCGTCCACGACCTTAGATGGCAATGGTAGTGGGGTTGGAGGTGGGTCAGCACATGGAGTAAACATGCCTGCTTTAACGTTGAGTGGGTCCTCTGGGACGACCTGTACAACCAATTCTGCTTCTCTACAGCCAGGTAGTAATCAAATGTTTCCCACATCAGTATCGAAGCAGTCAGTTGTCTTGCCGCCACCACGGTGCACTCCTGATCTGGCATCACCGGGACTGGTGGTTAGCGGAAACCTTGCTGTGGGAAATGGAAACATGGGAAACGGAAACATCACTGGTTGTAGCGCACCTACGACATCAGCATCAGCAGTACTGCCGCCAGCGGCTCTCTTCAGCAGTCCAACATTGAACAACAGCAGTTCTCTAAGTGCACCAGCAGCATCTGCAGGAAGTCCGGTTTTGCCCACTACTACTACCACGACGTCTTCTGTGCCGTCGAGTGCCAAGAAAATTCTTGCACCGCCACCATCAACTCGTGGCTTTCCTCTGCGGCCTTCAGAGCAGGCGTTGGTGAACGCGATGCAGCAAGTAGAATTGAAGGAACAGCAGAGAGCTGCTGCTCAACAAGGTCAACAGCAGCAATTCCATCTTCCGACTACAAACAACTGCAAAAATGGGAAAGGAAACATCAATAATGGAGTAGCAAGTGGTGCAGGAGGTCTAACAATCACTTCCCCGCACCTTCAATCGAGCAAGGGCAATCCAATGGGGTCCACAACTAAAGCTGCAACAGCGACCATGCCTCCTGTTAGGCAGATGATGTATGGCGGTGGCGATCCAGCGAATTTGGTGAACGGCTTCGGAGAGGGAAACCCTGAAGGTGGTAATGTTACGGCCGCACAGCTTAGTACAACTAGTTTGGCAAGCTTTAGTCTAATCTCTTGTGCCTCTATATCCATCTTGGACTTGGATTTGGAAGGATCAGGATTACCTACAACATTGAATTTCATGTAGATAACAATACCCAAGTACCACAAGCGCATCTTGGAAGAGGTTCCGTCTCGTCTGAATGGAAACAAGAAAACGGGCACCAAGAGTGATTAATTTGTAAAGATGGATTTAGTCCAGGTCCTGTGACTGAAGTACCTCACATCCACTTGACCATGAGAAAAAAATGAGGTACCAACATTTTGACAACATGACATGACATCTATTGTAAAGATGGATTTAGTCCAGGTGAAGAGGTTCCGTCTCTAACGACGATGGCATGCAAGAGGGGGGTCAAGACCCAAATGAGAAGGAAGACGGCTCCAGTCCAGAGGAAGATGAGGAGGACGGAGATGAGGATCCTGGTGTTATGCTTTGGAGAGTAACTAAGTAGGATCACTATTCTACTTGAGTAGACTATACAAATGTCATGAATTTCATACAAGGGGAAGGGGGTCGAGATGAGGGGACCAAGATGCATTCTAGCTAAGTACTAAATTGGAAAAGACTCCAATTCGAATTAGTAGGAAGTAGGAAGATGAGGAGGACGGAGATGAGGATCTGGAGTAACTAGCACAATCATATTTAAGTGACTTAAACATTATCACACTATTCTACTTGAGTGGACTATACAAGTGTCGATACGTCGTGGTCAGCAATTAGTTGTATGTCTGTAGTACTGTGAAGATTCAGCAACGGCACCCTGTCCTATCCTATCCTATAGATAATGTCTTGTCTTCTGCGCCAAAAAAAAAAATACCTTCCCTCTCTAATCCTAGCGACGAGCCAGGAGACGAAGTCGGCAAGTTGGAAATGCATGTTGGGAAAGTCACAAACGTCGGCGAAGGCGATATGACTATCATGACAATTGATGAGAGACAAATCATCCTCGACGACCCAGTTTTGGTCAAAGCAGGCTTACTGCCAGGCATGTGGGTCGGATTCGCAATTCGGGATGGCATGTACAACTTCTTTTTTACTAGTTAGAATGTAGGTCGGATTCGCAATTAGGGATGGCATGTATTTTTATCTGCAGCTGTGCTTCATTCTGCATGAGCTACGTACTTACACAGTATCCACCCAAGCATCTACGTGCACATTATCCCAACCTCCTCCTTCCCCAGGTACGTCGAAACCGATCGAGAACGTCTGTATGTGATGTGCAGTACACTCGATGACGAGCCACCACCTACACATTTTCCTCGAGTTTGGGGACGCATCAAGACGGTGACGCCCACCGGCCACTCTTTCGTCGATCCGGATGATGCAGAGGCTCTAGCCGGCACCGGAAAGACCGAAATCTTCATACATAATGATAAGGTAAGTACTTTTTTTTAGTCCTTTCCAGCAGAGCTTTTTTTAGTAGTACCAGAAGTAAGACGAGACTAACATAAGTAACTCTCATGTGGATGATGTTGACGATGCGTTGCTCAACTCAGTGTCAGTGTAACCGCTTACTAGGAACAGGACCAGATAACCTTCGACCTGTCATACACTACCACATACTACACTACCACATGAAGAACCTATTTAGAAATTTACATACAACCTATAATACAACCTATACATAGAAATTTTGAAAATTACCATAGGGCCGTCGCACGAATGATCGCGGTGGATTGGTCACGAATGACCGTGTTGTAATCGACGTGGACCGCAGCAACCCTCATGATCCAAGCCTCAAAGGGCCCATTTTCAAGGCTATCATCGGCGACTCTTTGACGCGCAAAGAGGGAGGCACCATTTCAGCCTCAATGGGACTGAAAGGTGGAAAATTATACACTGGCAAAGACGGAAAGCTGCACGTAAAAGGCGGGATCGGAGCAGAGAAGGGGAAAGACGAGAAAGGCAAAGGCAAATGGAATAACGGAATCGACTACCAAATCTATATCGGGTACTTCTTTGCACTTGTAGTAAGCCAGTTTCTCCTGATGAAGATAGATAGTAGTTCTTGTTCTTCCTTGTCTTTCTGTCTTCGCCATCGATGACTTAGTCCTAGGCGTAGTAAGCCAGTTTCTCTTGATGAAGATAGATAGATCCGAGAGACTAGTACACCATGGGACTCCCGTCTACTTAACCATGATTTTCTATTCTACTTCCTCACAACTCGACCTATGCACTTAGCCATGATCTATTCTTTCTCAGAACTCAACCTTGTATTTTTTGCCCACGACTTTCAGCTACTTGACCATCGTGATTTTCTATTCTACTTCTTCCAACTCGACCACAACCTATGATGTTGTATTCTTTGCCCACGTTCCAGTTACATCCACGAAATGAACGAGGATAAACATCACGGTTTTGTACGGTCGAAGCCGATCTCCTCCCAATATCCTGGAAAAGAGGCTTACCTGTACGGTAAGGAAATTGAACGAGCAAATCTGGAGAAATTATGGCTGAGGATCATGATGATATATGAAAAGTGTAAAAAAAGATATAAAAAAACGATAAAACTAAAAAGTGTAAAGATGTCTTAGTTGTCCCGTATTTCCAAGGAGAAAACATACCAAAGATTCACCTGCACTCAGTCTTGTTTGTCTCCCGCAGTAGATTCCTTCTCGATGGATTCTTCTGTCCCTCATTAGTTTCTCTCTCAATGCATTCACTGACGGTCAATCAATCCATTTAATGAAGTATCTAAGTATTCATATGGAGCTCGATGTGCAGGATCCACAACCTAACCTAGCCTCATAATCTTGTGAGAACAAGCAAGAGGAAGTATCTTCCTCAAATCTACCCACGTAAATTTATTCCCTGAGCTCTCCTTCTTCTAACTTGAGGGGATGTGATAGCCTTCCATTGCCTGGAAAGTCGGGATGGGAAGCCTACAGTCTCCGGCCGCGACCCGATCTACGTCTTGGCAGCCCATAAAGACGAGATGCAGCAACTCCGTTTCGGCGACAACGAGGGCTTTATCAGTAACGAAAGCAAACAGGGAGACTTGTTTTTATGTGGATGCTTTACAGATGATGTTATACTTGATAATCTATCATTCGGTTTCCTTGCTCTTCTATTCAGAAGGTACAGGGTGGCTGAAAGGCCTCAATAACGTTAGAGAAAACGTGACGCGAGATATCATGACATGACATGACATGACATGACATGACATGACATGACATGACATGACATGACATGACATGACAGGACATGCGCTACAGTTTGCTTAGGTTGCCACGTGATTCGTCAATGAATGAATGAGTGACGTTTTTTCATTAGAATGAAGGTTCTACAGTGATGAAGTCACTTATAGATGAAATAGAATAGAAGAAGCAGTAAAAATCCTTAGAATTTAAGCAGTAGAATTCAGAGCAGAATAGAAGAAGAATCTTGTTGACAGTAGAGTCACTTAGAAGGGACTCAACCATTGTTACTAGAAGGTCAAGGTTAATGATAATCTTGAGCTTATTCATCTCAGGGAGTTTGATGTAGTGCATCTTGTTCTAATCTCAGTCACCAATGAAGATTTGCGCACTTCCTTCGGCAAGGACGTCTTCATGCATCAAAAGCTAGCGCAGGACGGGGGCTTGCAAAAGGGGGACACGATTACCTTCAAGCTGTTCGTAACCGAGGATGGACGCCCTCAGGTGGCGACACCTATATGGCTGAAGCTGGAGCCGGACGATACTTTGGGAGAGCGAAGATGCAGGCCACCACCTGAGCAACCCTTCTTGCCAGAAAGAGCCGAACGATTAGCCAACCCGAAAGGAGGAAAAGCGAATACTAAGGTAGTAACTTGTTGTAGTTCTAGTTCCAGTACTTAGTTAGACAAACTATATAAAGCTAATACTTCTAAGGTAGTAACTTGTTGTAGTTCTAGTTCTAGTACTTGGTTAGACAAAGTATGTAAAGCTAATACTTCTAAGGTTGTAGTTGTTTTTCCAGTACTTAGTTAGACAAACTATATAAAGCTAATACTTCTAAGGTAGTAAGTTGTTGTTCCAGTACTTAGTTAGACAAAGTATGTAAAGCTAATACTTCTAAGGTAGTAAGTTGTTGTAGTTCTAGTTCTAGTACTTAGTTAGACAAAGTATATAAAGCTAATACTTCTAAGGTAGTAAGTTGTTGTAGTTCTTCTAGTAGTTAGAGGAAAAGCGAATACAAAGGTAACAGTTCCAGTTAAAGCTAATACCAAGGTTGTCTTGAGTTGTAAAATTGTTCTATTTGAAAGGGTCGAAGGATTCTGGTTACCTCCGACCGGTGCTGTTCAGTCAGGAAAGGTCAATCGGGAATCAAAAAGAAGGGAATATTAAAAGAAAGAGGAGGCTTCATTCTCCTTTTTATCTACACCTCTGCTACTTCTATCTTTCTGATCATGATCTTGTTCCTTTGATCTCTATGTTTTCGATTTCGACCCAGCACAGTAAGAACTTTTCTACCAATTCCTTCAGGGCTGGGAACAGTGGGCAGGCAAGGGTGCAGCTTACTATCGACGTCCACGACCTGATGGCGCAACTTCCATTTACAACAGTGATTTTTTCCAGAGCAAGGGGTATGGCGGAAAATTTTCGAGCAAGACTTCAGGAGGCGAGTTCGAGAAAGGTGGAAAGTTAAGGCTCACGACTATTGAAATTGATGTAGTCCACACAGTAAGGATTTATTGATAAACTGTTATTTTCTCAGGTGGACTAGTGCCGCAGCTGTACTTTATAGTGCAACATTGTTTTGTCATGAGCTCTAAGAAAAGGCGGCTACGACGAGGACGACTATTTTGGTGGAAAGTGGGGCTCAAAGGGCAAGTCGGACTACGGAGGTGGCAAGTATAGCGACGACGAAGGGTACTACGGTAAATACGGTGGAAAGTATGGCAAGTACGGGAAAAAGGGTGGCGGCGGAAAGTACGGTGGTGGGAAATACAGCGATCACGAAAACGATAGTTATGAGAAGAGAATTTCCCTAGCATGTTGACTGTGTACTAGCTTGCCTCTCAGTTGTACCTTGTTCTTGTAAGGAACAGTTTTTTCTGATGTTGGGCACCTATTGACTTACCTACGACTATCGTAGCCCAGTACGCACAAGTCTATGTGCGCAACCACCATGTACTTGCGACCAGATATTGGCAAGCTCATAACAGGTCTCTGGTGCTGACCACCCCTGGTTGATAAACATATTTGCTAACACACGACAGTACTGCTGACCCATAGATAAGGTACACGATCAATATATAAGGATACACTCTAGTCCTGACATTGATGTTGGTTTATAACACACCAGCACTTAGCAACACCAGACTGCTCTAATTTCTCTACTACGAAGGCCCAGGGAGCAAAGGCGAAGGCCGAGGATCGAGCTACAGCGACTACTATGGCAAGGGAGAGCGGTATCCTGGCAAGGGGGACCGAGACAACTATGGACGATCCGAATCTTATGGCTCAAAGGACTATGGGGGCAAAGACTACGGCAAAAGTCGATCGTCAAGCTACTACGACAGCTACAGCAAGGATAGAGACGAGTACCCAAAAGGTGGATACAAGGGCAAGAGGGATTACTATGGGAAAGGTACCGATTGTTCTCTAGCTCCTTTAGTATTTGCTGGACAACTACAACAACCCTTCGTATAATTCTCGTAAAGAACCCTTTCAGCAATGAGTGTCACTTATTTTTCAAATCATATTTGATTGATGAAGGTTGAGGTTCATCTTGTTCTTGAGAAGTCTAAACGAGCATTCATCCACCGATGGTTCATCTTCCACTCTCACAATCACTCCCACAATCATTCCCACAACCACTCCCACAATCACTCCCGCAAGCACTCCCACAACCACGACCACAACCACTTCCACAATCACTCCCACAACCACTGCCACAATCACTCCCACAACAGGTTGGGATGACGAAGACTCGGACGGCCCTGATTTGAAGAGGAGGCGACGCGACTACTGGGACTGGGACGATGGTGCCTATGGTGGCGGAGGCAGAGAAAACCCGTCATCAGGACGATCAGGTGGCAGCGGTGTTATGGCTACTACAGATGCTAAAGATTCTAAAGATTCGAATTTTCTTATAACTAAGTAGGATAGAAGTAAGTCTTCCTTTACCTCGATGATTCGGATCATGTAACCTCGTGGTCTAGTCCCTGCTTACAGTTTGTAAGTAAGAAGTAACAGCAAGAGTAGTCAATTATTTTGTGCTACCATTTCAATTTCTAACCCTCGCGGCGCTGGCGGCGCTTCTTCAAGCACGGTGATGAGCGCGCCAAGTGCAGACGGCTCCGCAGAACAAAAACGGCAGTGGTTTGCACACGTCTACGCACAGTACGTCGAGAGCTATAAACAGCAAGGACATGATGATCAGAGCGCTAGGAATATGGCGCAGAAGAGCCTGGAACAGTACAAAGCGCAGTGCATACAACAGGGCATTAGAGTGGACTAGAGGAGTGCCAATGAATATCATTTCAAACTTCATCCTGTTAAAGAAGTATACAAAATATACCTTCATTGTTTTCCTGTTTTAGAAGATCACTACATCACGTACCAGTAAGAATACGATTTTGTTGACGAGAGTAACGACATCCTAAGTCAATCGTATTTACAACTAAACAAGAATGCTATTACAATTGTGCTTACTAGACGACTTGATGACTGCAAATCAACCTATTCAATGAATTTTTACAACTTCTTATATCAACAAAAGTGTCTGCTCTCTTCGTAGTATTTGCTTAGCACTTGTTGCTACCCTTTTCTTAGTTTTATTCCAGAAAGAATTTACTTGTTCCATTTATTTGCTGTTCCACACCAGTATAGATTTGTCTTTTTAAATCTAAATAAATCTTCGTACGTACAACTAGTGTTCGCCCGAAGCTCAAAGGGCCCAGAATTCATCCCTGTATGTCATCGAGCTTGATCATCAAGTTCTATTAGGACGTATATTCTGCAAATTTTTATAGACGAGGATCAAAGTCCACGTGACGCTGACGAAGACTGCCGTCAAAAGACAAAGCAGTTCATCATAAACGAGAATGACATGAAACAAGGATTACCGACGCACTAGCAATGACATGAGACGACTAAGTACTGTAGACTTCTAGGATGTGAAGACACACCAAACTACGTGTTCAGTGACAAGAATGCGACCCGTACTACATCTACAACAAGACGACTACAAATTTATTAGTCTAGTAGTAGATACACGACCTTCTACATCTAAATACTAAATCGTTCAACATGATGGGAAATGACCAAACACGTTACTTGTACGTAGAAAATCGACGATATACGATAAAGATGTCATATCAACATGCGACTCATCGCGTCTAGCTTGTAGTCCGATACATTGCTAGGCTTGTTAGGAGACGGCTTACCCAGAGAGACGCAAGTCGTTGCTGGCTTACCTAGAGAGAAGCATGCAAGCCATTCTTGCTGGTTACAATCAATGAACTAATAGAAACACCAATCACTCGACTTGATACTTGATGGGCTAGCTTTCCCCCAGAGCTCAACCCGCTAGCACGAACACTTCTTCTACTGTGCTTGCAGAAGATTCTCCCCAATGTAGGTCATAGGGCATGAAGAGATGACGTCCGACGTGTACTGTATAAGTTAGTAGTATTTGTTGTACATTCTACATCAACAAGTGGCACTTACAGAGCGATGGTTGGAGGATGAAGTAGAGCTAGAGATAGGAAGACGCGTGAAGTGGCACCTCGACGAGGAGCGCCAGACGAGAAGCGCTGTGTCAACCTTGAAATTGCATCAGCAGACTTCTCTCACATCATTTTTCAGATCAACGTACAGGAAATCCTCACAGAATAAAGCGAATTGTGTCCTCTAAGGGTGCGGACCTGATCAATATCTCCTCTAAGAATGAAGCGAAGGATGGCCTGCTCAGATCCTCACAGAAAACAATAATAGCCCATGATGATGACCTCTAACTAATGAAACCCCGAAAACCACCACTGAAAGGAAAAATCACCATCGAAACTACAAACCACCATGATTGAAACTCTTCTCAGAAAGAGGACATTCACAGCACTCTAATTTTTCTTATAACTGCGTACGGACATAGAGATAGAGCAAACGAAGTCCTCCTGCTGGTGCTCGTCGTCACGTATGCCTGATTAGTGCCTTCTGTGGTCTCAGCACAACACCACCATCAGACATCAAGAATACAGCAAGGTAGTCGCAGTGGCAAGAAAGTGTATGTGTTCACAAACGTCCTAACCGAGTACTGAAGTTTAGGAAAAAACGAACACAGCAGCAAACAAGTTTAGGAAAGAAATGAGATCGGTCGTATGTCGAAGAATTTGTGGCGTACCAAAAAACGTCGGTTATGAACAGCTGTCATCGCATTCTCCCCAAAGACTGCATTATACCGCCACATTCTCGCTCCCGAAACACCGCATACCGCTACTCACTCCCCAAAAACCGCATACCATTCCTATCCCATCCACTCTCCCCCAAACAGAGTAGACGCAGTGTAAAAGTTGACACTTGTGGTTGATGTACAGTTGACACTTCTTAAAGCAAGAAACCGTTATTGAAAGAAAAATATGGGAAATCCTCAAAATGCTGGTCTAAACAGAAACACAGTGTAGTTGACACTCGTTGATGGAGTTTCTCTAGCACCTGTCTACTTCTTCTCGAAGAAGCAAATCGTTAGTAGAAGAAAGAAAAATACTTACTCGAAGATACTTGCACCCATCCAAGGACTAGCTATATCTCCTTGATCAAAAAATTGTTACTGAAAGAAAAGAAGGAGAAGCTTCAAAATATTCTTTTAGATATCATAGATCTTCGTCTATCGCCTGTCTTCTTGAGGGAAAACAGACCGACACTCAAAGAAAGCAAGCTTGTTTTCAACTCTACGTTGAGAGAAAAGAAAAAAAGATGTCGATGAAGATCTTGGCACGATGCACGAAGACCGCGGGTGTGTGTGTGTGTCTGTGTAGTGGTGCACTCGCATTAGACCGGCAAGGCCAGCGCGTATGCTCTTTTTACTTTTCTTCCTTATGCCATTCTACGCCCTGATACAGTTCAGCCTTGTGCAGTTCATTTTGAGGAAAGAAAATTGAGAGTGAGATAAGAGCAGAAACATGATGAAGATATACATGATACATCCATGGTAGGAACATGCATGAAGGGTCTTTGTTTGGCTTAACACCAAAAACATTCTTTTCAGGTGATGGTAGCAACAGCAGAAACAGAAGAAGCAGAAGCAGCAGCAAAAGCAGAAGCAAGAGCAGAAGCAGGAGCAGAAGAAGAAGCAAGAGCAGAAGAAGAAGCAAGAAGAGAAGCACAAAATAAAGCAAAAGAAAAACCAGCAAAAGCAGCAGAACAAGGCGCAGCAGATGAAGGAGCAAAAGAAGCACCAGCAAAAGCAGACGGAGCAGCATCGGCATTCCTGGAGCTGGAACCTCCTGTGGTGCAAATATAAGCTGCAAATCCAGAGCAAAGTGCAGGACAACAAAAAAAGGGAGGATATCATCTCCCATGCGATACTCCTATCGGTCCGCCTCCTATGGAGGTCCGCCGAACAACTGTGTCTTGGATTATCTCAACTTCTGGACCACTAGACTATTCTCAAAAGTTCAGCAGGACTAAAATATCTCGCTACTTGATACGAGTTGAAGATAACAACTCACAGCAATTTTCGAGGATGGAAGTTGGACTAGAAGTTAGATGATTTGATCAAGAGATTGGGATTAGGGAATGATTTTATGGTATCTATCCACTAAATTTTCACAGCAAAGCAGTACTACTCGACTACACTGAATTTCTATCGCAAAACACTACTCCACGATCTCGACAAGTCAACCGATTATATCGCTGTTATCGATAAAAAGACGCTATAGACCGTTAAAACTTCAAAAATGACATTCACTTAGTATTCGCGTATTCATCTTCTTGTTCACTTCTTACAACGAATTACAAGCACTATCGCATAAACCAAAGATCTACTTTCACTGGGAATTATTAATATTAGAACTACTTAGCGTTAGCTCAAAAGCAACAACGACAACGTGGATTATTCTAGGAAAAAATAGATGGAAAAAAAACATTTACTAGACTTCCAAGAAGGTTTCAGAGATTGATGAACTCTCATAACCTCCAGACATTCAGATCAGACAAAGACAGTGAGTTATGCTTATGATATCCTGAAGCAGAATATCCTACTATCGCGCCATGATCGATGGCGGGGAGAATGCTTTCACCGTGGAGATTTTCCTGTTGTGACTGTGAAAAGAGGGTCGAAGTTCGTTGGAGCGATACCATGTTGATAGGTCTGCTCATCTACTGTCCTGAGCGAACAATAAAAGCCCATTGATCTCATGCCCTCAGCGAACAATAAAATTCCGTTGATCTGCCTTGAACGAACAATATAGATCATGCGATGCGCCAGAGTGTGGTTGTACATGAATCAGTCGGTTGATGCATTTCATATTCGAACAAACGAGCACGAGTTATGATCGCGTAAATCTGTTGCTTGATATCTCATTATCATCAACGAACAGGAGGAGGCAGCTGACTCGCATAGTGCTACTGCTGGTGCGCGTCGTCACGTATGCCTGATTAGTGCCTTATTTTTTCGATTCACAACACCACCATGATCCACGAGACGAAAACGATCGGTGCTGTTCTGTCAAGAAAGATCAGTTCTGAGTAAAAGAGAAAGAGGAGGCTTCATTGTCCTTTTTATCTACACCTCTGGTACTTCTATCTTTCTGATCATGAGCTTGTTCCTTTGATCTCTATGTTTTCGATTTCGACCCAGCACAGTAAGAACTTTTCTACCAATTCCTTCAGGGCTAGGAACAGTGGGCAGGCAAGGGTGCAGCTTACTATCGACGTCCACGACCTGATGGCGCAACTTCCATTTACAACAGTGATTTTTTCCAGAGCAAGGGGTATGGCGGAAAATTTTCGAGCAAGACTTCAGGAGGCGAGTTCGAGAAAGGTGGAAAGTTAAGGCTCACGACTATTGAAATTGATGTA